TAGGACATTTGATACCAATGTTGATTGAGAAATGTCTTAGGGATTGAGGGCCTAGCAAGGAACAACATCTAGTCACTCGGATGGGACAAAAAACGTGGGCACATAAAAGGACCTTTGACAGTTTGGAATCGCTGAAGAGTAGGCAGCTGCCCAGGTAAAATTCCCTAATGGTGAAATATAATAGGACGTTAAACTTCATTTCATTTCCTGTCCACTACACATGTCTATGATTATAGTTTGTCTATTTCAGGGCTGACAAGAAAGCTGTCTAGTCGTTCGAATGGGACGAAAAACCAAGGTCCCGTGTACACATTGGCTTGCACGTAAAAGATCCCTTGGCAGTTGGAATTCAATATAAGAGTAGGCCGTAGTGCCGCTGTCCGGGCAAAATTTCCCTCATAGCACACTGTATGGCGAATGCCCGTCTTCATTAGCCCAGTTCGGAGCAAAACAGTAGGATGTTAAACCTCATTTCATTTCATTTCATTTCATTTCATTTCATTGTCTATTTCAGCTGAGATCGTGGCTCGCAAGGGAAGAAAAAATGAAAATATGTTGTTGGCTGGAGCTGGTATAAAACTAGAAGGACTTCGAATGAGACGAAAAAAAACTTCCATTGAATCAGCTATCGAACTTAAAGAGAAGAGATTTCAAACAAAGGAATCCAAACAAATCAAAAAAGAATTATTAGAAAAACAAATGGCAGACAAGATGGAAAATCCGATTGAATCAGCACCTAAAAAACAAAAAGTTTCCATAAAGACGGAGACAGTGACTTCTGCTTTATCTGCTCAGACTTCTACAGATGTGATTGACTTTAAGAACATAAAACAAGAACCACAGGAATCTGTGTATTTTGACTCTGCTTCGGTTCAGTCTTTCAATTCATTTACGTCTGATAACGACAGTCAGTTTTCGTTCTCAGCATCTAATAGTAGAGATTTGTGGACGGAAGCAGATTTGACTCCAAAAGGTTTGATTTCTTACATTTGACCCCGCTCCCCTTACCCCCCCCCCCTCCAAATATTGTTTATAGTTGAAAGCAGTATAATTGGGCAGAGCTGGTTTTCATTATCAGGTAACTTTTTCTCAGCATGGAGAAGATAGAGTAATGGAGATTAACATCCACTTGACACAAACCAGGTAATTTGGGGTGTGTAGCTGTGGGAGGAAACCAGAGGTCCTGGAGAAAACCCACGAGGTTGGATAGGTGACCCTGTCCCTTGACTCAATGACAGGCCTTATAATCTAAAGCGCATGCATTAGATCATTCGGCCACCCACCCACCCCCGTCCTCAACATGGTAAAGTAGCATAAACCTACTTAATGCCCATCTAAAAGTAACGTACTTTGTATTGGGCACAGGGGACCACGTGGCTAAGTGGGTAAGGCGCTGGCTCGCTAGCCTGGAGGTCGGGTGTTCGATCCCTGCATTGGCCGAGAAAGTTCATCCAGATTTTCCGGCGTGGTTCCCCCTTGTCAGTGATGCAGAACGGAGGGCCTGACAAGGACAGCTGTCTAGTCCTTCGGATGAGACGAAAAACCGAGGTCCCGTGTATACATTGGAATGCACGTAAAAGATCCCTTGGCAGTTGGAATTCGATATAAGAGTAGGCGATAGTGCCGCTGCCCGGGCAAAATTTCCCTCATAGCACACTGTATGGCGTATGCCCGTCTTCATTAGCCCAGGTTAGGAGCAGAACAGTAGGACGTTAAACCTCATTTCATTTCATTTCATTGTATTGGGCAGACCTGCAAATAACAATTTTAATTTTCATGGCAAATTGTCATGTCTAAATGAAAGATAACAATGTGTTTCACAAAGTGACAAACACCAGAAAAATAATTGTACCCAAGTTGCTGATCCATGTACTTTTATTTCAGAAAGTTTACCGACATATTTATTACAAGATGAAGAAGATGAGGATGTGGACAGTGATCTGGAGATAGATCCAGGTAGTTGGTCTCCTATACCACCAACACAAGACACCATGTCTATAGACGATATGCTGTCTACATTACCAGGTAATAGAACATATTATCCAACACACATCTTTATGATAGAACAGACTGAGAGCAGGATAACTGCCCCATAAAGAATATATAATATTTGGAGGCGAATTGTCCATTGGACAGTGTTGCTAGACCCCAAACAAGATGGTGGGGGGGGGTTGGATGGCCTGCCATTGAGTCAACTGGCGTGGTTTCGATTCCCCGGTTGTATGTGACAAGGAGTAGGGTCGCCTGTCCAACCTCGTGGGTTTTCACTGGGTCCTCTGGTTTCCTCTCACTGCTAAAGACCCCAACGCACAAGCGAATTATTGGTTTAAAGTGTGCGAGTTAAATTACAAGATCTGTCATTGAGTTGTTTCGACTCCATGCTTGTACGTGACAAGTAGTAGGTTCACCTGTCCAACCCTGTGGGGTTTCTCAGGGTCCTCCCTTTTCCCCCCACTGCAAGACCCCTAAGTGCAAGCGAATTATTCGATAGAATTGAACCATATGTTAGTCCCAAAATGGCCTAGTTTATTTCGTGTGGACGTTAAACCCCATTTCTCTCTCACTCTTATTGGCTGTGTTGATGTAGAAATGAAATGAAATGAAATGGGGTTTAACATCCTTCTGTTCTGCTCCTAAACTGGGTTAATGAAGACGGGCATACACCATACAGTGTGTTATGAGGCCCTCCGTCCTGCATCACTGACAAGGGGGAACCACGCCGGAAAATCTGGATGAACTTTCTTGGCCAATGCAGCGATCGAACACCCGACCTCCAGGCTAGCGAGCCAGCGTCTTACCCACTTAGCCACGTGATCCCCGTGTTGATGTAGAAAAGCAGAATGTTAAATCTCATCTCAAATGATTTATATTACAGATAAATCTGATCCCACTGCTGTGTCAGGGGAGATAATCAGTAAGATTAAAACGGAACCAAAAGATGAAGATGATAATAATTATCCTACAGAACAACAAACTGGTATAAAGAGAGATATGAAGGATATTGATGGTGATGATGATAATGATGATGATGATGATGCTGATGATGATGATGATGATCAATCCAGTGATACGTCCGAGGAGTCGGTCATCAGTCAACCAAAGATAAAAGAAGAAGAAATTAAACCGGCAGTTAAAAGGTAACTCTCATAAACGTCACTCTTTTAGCTCTTATTAGAATCTTTTAGTTTTGTTTTCTCTCCGTTTTGCTTTTGCTTTACTTCCAGGAATGTCACTTATGGTCCTAATTTCTGATCTGATTGTGGCATAATCTTTGATAAATAAAATTCAGAATTGATTTTCTAAGCATCTTTTGTGGGATCTTTAGAATGGGTGAATTATTCATCATGCATGGTGATCATGGGTTCAAATAGTGATCAGGGTTTGATTTATTGAAATAAAATGGAACTATTTGTTTATCCTGAAATTACCTAGTTTGTGTCGAGTGGACGTTACAGCCCATTTCTCTTTCTTTTTTCTGAACAGATATAAACCAATCAGTGTCTATGACGAACGTCTCTTGTTAAACAGATTAAATATGGTCGCCGAAAAAGAACAGCTTTCACCAGAAGTTAATAGATTTCGACGAAAACTTATCGTCAGACAGGTATAAATCAATTGTACCTTACGAATGACCTAGTTTGTGTCGAATGGACGTTAAACCCCATTTCTCTCTCTCTCTCTCGCAATCACTTTGTTGCCTATATCAAACAAACAAACAATTATTAGAAACAAGACAACTAACCCAGTTATATGGGACAACAATCACTGTGCTTGATGACAATAAGAGAATATTTATCGGGGGGTTGGATGGCCGAATGGTTAGCATGCTGTATCATAAGGCCTGTCATTGGCCGAGAAAGTTCATCCAGATTTTCCGTCAGTGATGCAGGACGGAGGGCCTGACAAGGACAGCTGTCTAGTCGTTCGGATGGGACGAAAAACCGAGGTCCCGTGTACATATTTGCGTGCACGTAAAAGATCCCTTTGCAGTTGGAATTCGATATAAGAATAGGCCGTAGCGCCGCTGCCCGGGCAAAATTTCCCTCATAGCACACTGTATGGCATATGCCCGTCTTCATTAGCCCAGTTTAGGAGCAGAACAGTAGGACGTTAAACCCCATTTCATTTCATTTCACTTCGTGGGGGGTTGGATGGCCGAATGGTTAGCACGTGCGCGCTGTATCATAAGGTCTGTCATTGAGTCAGCTGGTGTGGTTTCGATTCCCTGGTTGTATGTGACAAGGAGTAGGGTTGCCTGTCCAACCTTGTAGGTTTTCTCCAGGTACTCCAGTTTCCTCCCACTGCTAAAGACCCCTATGCACAAGCAAATTATTGAAATAAAATTGAATCGTGTTAGTCCCGAAATGACCTAGTTTGTGTCGAATGGACGTTAAACCCCATTTCTCTCTCTCTCTCTCGCGATCACTTTGTTGCCTATATCGAACAAACAAACAATCTTTCTCTTTTCTATATATAGATATGTTTTGTAACTTGTATTTCAGTTAAAACGTGAAAGAGGTTTACCAGTATTTGATTTAGATCATGAAGTTAATAAATGTTTAACAAATGGAAATATCATATCAAAGGTAAATTGTGTTTAACCAATGGAAATATCATATCAAAGGTAAATTGTGTTTAACAAATGGAAATATCATATCAAAGGTAAATTGTGTTTAAAAAATGGAAATATCATATCAAAGGTAAATTGTGTTTAACAAATGGAAATATTGTATCAATGGTAAATTATGTAGTATTATGTTTAACTAATGGAAATATATAGGTAAAGTATTATGTTTAAATAATGGAAATATCACACCAAAGGTAAAGTATTATGTTTTATCAAAGGTTTAACTAATAGAGATATCGTATTAAAGGTGTAGTATTATGTTTTACAAATGGAAATATCACATCAAAGGTAAATTATGTTTAATCAATGGAAATATCACATCAAAGGTGTAGTATTATGTTTAACAAATGGAAATATATCAAAGGTTTAACTAATGGAAATATCATATCAAAGGTGTAGTATTATGATTAAAGATGCAATATGTAAGAGCTAAATCTGCCTATGGCATGTCTTTCTTTTGGCTTTAAATGTTATCTAAATTTCATCATTTTATTGTACAAACTTATGGTTTATTATATTACAGAATAAAGATAGTTTTGGTGTTCCTTATACACAGTTTCCTCATGGTGATCTACGCGTGTTAGACAGATTTCAGGTATTTATAATTTTAAACACTTTATAATAATGTTGTCATGGTGATCTATGGGTGTAAGACAGATTTCAGGTATATAATTTGAAATATTTTATACTAATCTTGTCATGATGATCTACAGGTGTTAGACCGATTTCAGTATAGAAAAATTTTATATTAATGTTGTCATGGTTTTCTATGGGTGTTAAACTGGTTGTAGGTGTACAAATATTTTATAATAATTAAAGAACTAACATTTTATTTCAAATGATGTGTGTGGTGATGGGGAGAAAACTTTTGCTATGGCAGCATCATTTCCGCCTACTCTGCTTTAAATTCCATCTGCCATCAACATAATTTTCCCCTCAATGTGCCTACATGTCATTTATATTTTATGTAGCATATATCAGATCTTGACTCACACTATTATTATACAACGTTTGAAAAATATACCCTTATTGTTAGTTTGTTATCATTTTGAGTGAAGTTTGTGCAACTACAGACCCTAGGGACTGTACAGCGCGGTGGACGCTTACGACTAGCCCCCAGATCCATTCACTGGATCTTATATGGATGTTCATTGTTTGTGATGTCTGTATGTGCACAAGGAGTATGTTGTCTGGGCAGCGATGTTTCAACATAACTTTTAAATTCCAACTGCTAAGGGATCTTTTACATGCACTGGCAATTGTGTCAAGTGTTTATCATAAACTTTATGGAGCCATTGTGGCTCATTGAGTAAGACAGTGGTTCGCTAGCCCGCAGACCAGCGGGACCTGGCAAAGGACAACGCATACAAATTGGATGAAAAACTGAGGTCCCTTGAACACCTTGGCATGTACCTAAAAGGTTCCTAGAGAGTTAAAATTTGATATGAGATTAGGTTGTAGTGCGGCTGTCCAGGCAAAATTTCCCTCATAGCACAATGAGAGTGTGTCCGGCTTCATTAGCCCAGTTATAGCAGACCAGTATGATCTTAAACCCCATTTTAATTGGGTGTGTCCATCTTCATTAGCCCAGTTATAGCCGAACAGTATGATATTAAACGCCATTTAATTACATAAACTTTATGTATATATGATTTTAAAGAGGTATAGGTATCCGTTATCAAGACTTTCTACATGGATTTTTATTGTCTTCAGGGAGGAATGAAAGTCTCTTACAACTTGGAACCAGAACGTCCATCTTTTTTAAATCGTCTGGTAGGAACAGAAGATGATCAGTTATTGAGTATCAGAAGTCCTTATACTGCCAGGTAAACTAATATTTACAGGACAACATCTTATTATTTGAGACATTCAGATAAATTATGTAAGAATTTGATAAAGAGCTGGCCATTCTTGCTATAATAGTTCAAAAATAATGCAAAATGAATACATGTATATTGAAAATTTCATTCAAATTTTTAGCCTTTAAAGGTTTGACAAGATATGTGCACTGATTGTAACCACCGTACTGGTTGTTCGAAGCTTAGCCTCACTTCACGATTTAGATTAAATCATTAAATGGCTGAACAGGTTCTAATCTACTTAAAATCAGACCTGTTCGATGGCATTGAGACTTGATAATGTTAAGAAATGTCTAATTAATAGTTTATATAACATTTCAGGCCTAAAGAAAGCCCTGGCTCCGATATCACAAAGCATTCTCAGACTTAAGTTAAGGATTAACTCACCTTTCAAGCACTGTTATTGGAAATATCTTTGAACTATGTACACACGCTTGTAGTTTCTTATTGATGTATTTGATATATTAAAACAACAAAAGTTTTATAAAAGGGTATATTTTAGTTAAAATAAGGTGAACACTTTTGAGTAAATTCTTAACTAAGTCTGAGAATGCTTTGTGAACTCGGGGCCTGCAATAGGCAGATTTAACTCTTTCATAATGTATGTTTGATCCACGCTGAAATATACTCAGATTGATTATTTTACATTTAATTAAGAAAACCAAACCAATCTGATGAAAATTAGACCCATCAAAAATTTCTATCACACACCGATAGGCGACTTGTACATAAATAATCTCTTAACAAATATCTACAAATGTTTATATTATTACTTGTACTCATTTATATTTAAGGTGACTAATAATAAACGTAATAGGTTGGGTGTTTGAACTATGTCATAAATTATGTTGTATGTAATATAACATGTGTCACTATTATAAACAATTTCTGTTCGGCTTGGCTCGGTTTGGCTCGGTTCGGTGGTGCTCTGTTCTATTCTATTCTGTTTATTTCATCCACAGTATCCAATTATAAAATGTCTTGCTGTTACTTACACCAAAAGTAGACACCATACTTGTTGAAATTGCATGACTTATGGTGTTCATAATTAAAATATTGGTTTTGTGTTTTAGAGAAAACTTGAAAGGAAACTTTATATTTTAAAATGTTGTTAATAGTGGATATACAAGATGTATAACATACAGGTTAGGATTAAGCTTGCTTGGGGCCCTGAGCTGTAAATATCACTGGGACCCTTGCCACAACCACGAAAAGTGTTTATATTCTGGTCATAGTATATGACATATATCTTCATATTTATTAATGTCAAATAAAAAAATGTATGAATTATTTTATTATCTATTGTAGAATCTTAAAGCCATTTATTAGAAGAGATTACGAATCCCGACCTTTAAAGATGCGTTTGTTAGAAGAAATCAAGGCTTATCCTCATCGGTAAATAAAAATAATGTTTGATAGTATGATTAGTTTTTATTTTTATACTTTGTACTTTGTACTTTTGTGGAGCCATGGTGGTAAGTAAGGCACTAGTTCACTAACCAGAAAGACTGGGGTTTGCTAAGAAAGTACCTCAAGATTTTTAATTGTGATTTCCCCTTGTCGGTAGTGCTGGACGAAGGGCCTGGCAATGAACAGCGTTAACTAGTTCAGATAGAATGAAAAACTGAAATCCTGTGTATACATTGGTGTGTGTGTAAAACTAAAAGAAACCTTAGCTGCTGTCTGAACAAACTTTGTCAATAACGCACTGTATGGTGTATGCCTGTCTTCATTAGCTAGATTGGTGCAGAAAAGTAGGACACTGTTTTATTGAATATCTTTCTCCCTATATTTCCAGGAATGATCCGACGTGGAAGGCCCCACCCCCACCACCTATAGACTATTGTTATGTCAGACCACAACATATCCCATCAGTCAATGTTTTATGTCAACAGTTCTTCTGGCCTGGTATAGATCGTAAGTTATTTTATAAATATTATGATGGTCTTTCCATTTATTTTTTTGATAGCTTTATAACAGCCAGAGATGCTCGCTAAAATAAGGTGGTGTTAGGTGGCGGGATGGTTTAACATGTCCGATCATAAGATCTGTCATTGAGTCAAGTGGACCTTAAACCCCATTTCTCTCTCTCTCTCTTGATATTAGTTTAAAGCTACGTTCCCCGAAAAGTATTTATCAGGTGGTTATTCCCAATAAAAGTATGGCAATTTTAGTATATATGGAAAGTAGAGATATCCAATCTTATGGAGCACATACAGGACAAAAATGTACGGGTTTCCCTAATCGACAGCCCAACGATTAGGAGGTTGCACGCGGAGATTGAGTGCTTGATGTAAATGTTGATAAACTTTATGAAGAGTTAGACGTACAACACTTTCTGATATAAAAATCACAGAAAAAGATGCGGGCTGTGGATAATCTGAGAATTTAATTAGGCTTCAATATTTGTAATAAATAGTCAGCGATAAAGGCAACATCGTCTTGTGTATGCAACGAATTCTCCTCTGACCTCGCACCCGTTGTGTCACATGACACAAACATGACCTCTTTTGATCGATTTTTTATAGCCAGCTATTCCCTGACAATTGCAATGTTTTGAGAAGGATTTGAAGGAAAATAATGATAAATTAATTAGTTTGAATATGTTTTTAGTCCAAATATATCATCAAATCACCCAGTTTGTACCCGGGAATGTATCTTTAATGTCAAATCTTTGTTTAAAAATTTGTAAAAATCGTTTAAAATCACCAAAAATCATCTAATTTGTACTTTTGTCCAGTTTATAGCTGACTGCTTAATTTTGATAATGAGTGTCCAATTTACAAGTATTTAGTTTCTTGACCATTGTTCAAAAATTAATCATTATAGTATACATCAATAGGGTTGTTTATTTTTAACAGTGATTGAGAAATTAAACGCTTGTAATATTGGACACTCATCAAAATTGAATGGTCAGCTTTAAATTGGACACAAGTTCAAATTAGATGATTTTGGGTGATTTTAAATGATTTTTTATAAATTTTTAAACAAAGATTTGATATCAAACAAATGTGAAAGAAATTAGTGCTAGATACACAAGATTAAATGATACCCAGGTTACAGTGTATGTGTATACTAAAACCAGTTGTCATCACTGTTTTATTTTTCAGTATCAGAATGTCTTCACTACCCAGATTTTACTTGTGTTGTTTTATTTAGGTAAGTCTCCATTGATAATAAGGAGGTTGGGTGGCTGAATGGTTTTTATAGCAAGTGCTTTAGATCATAAGGTCTCTCATTGAGTCAAATGGCGTGGTTTCGATTCCCGGTTGTACGTGACAAGGAGTAGGGTCACCTGTCCAACCTCGTGGGTTTTCTCCATGTCCTCTGGTTTCCTCCCACTTCTGAAGATCCCTACGTGCAAGCAAATTATTGAAATAAAATTGACCTACTTTGTGGCCCCATCTATCTCTCTCTCTCTGTATCAAAGACCCTTTATTGAGATGAAATTGAACCATATGTTAGCCCCAAATATTACCTAGTTTGAGGGGGTCTCAATCAAATTTTATAGATGATAATAACTGGTGCAATGGTTGCCAAATGTATCCACATTTTAAATTTATCATATATTTGTAAATACTGAATCATTTTTGAACTGATATTCCTCTAGAGATTCAAATTCCCCATATTTTAATTTGCAAAGGATTTAAAATGATGATCAGAGAGTTAATAGATCTTCATTTAAAGTGTACTATAATTGACACAGAATCACTTTGTTGATGAGGGAGCCACGGTGGCTAAGTTGGTAAGACGCTGGCTGGCTAGCCTGGAGGTCGGCTGTTTGATCCCTGCTTTGGCCGAGAAAGTTCATTGTGATTTTCCAACGTGGTTTCCCCTTGCCAGTGGTGCAGGACGGAGGGCCTGGCAAGGACAGCTATCTAGTCATTTGGCTGGTACGAAAAACCGAGGTCTCATGTATACATTGGCGTGCATGTAAAAGATCCCTTGGCAGTTGGAATTCAATATAAGAGCAAGCCATAGTGCCGCGCTGCCTGGGCAAAATTTCCCTCATAGCACACTGTATGGCATATGCCCATTTTCATTAGCCCAGTATAGGAGCAGAACAGTAGGACATTAAACCCTATTTCATTTCATTTCACTTTGTTGATGTACTGTATTGACTATTGTTTTCAGGTTTTGCCATGCACATCCAATAACAATGTTATAACAGTTTTGTTGTTCCTTTTCAGAAAAATTGTGATAGGTTTTGCGTTTATGGTGCCAGACGTTAAATATAATGAAGCGTATATATCGTTTATATTTACACATCCTGAATGGAGGCGAGCTGGTATCGCTAAATTTATGGTTTATCATTTAATACAGGTAAGAGTTAATTGCCATTCTTTAACCGTTATCCAACCTTATGGGTTTCCCCGGGTCCTCCGGTTTCCTCCCACTGCTAAAGACCCCAACGCACAAGCAAATTATTGAAATAAAATTGAACCATGTGTTAGTCCCGAACTGACCTACCTCTCTCTCTCTCTCTCTCCCCTATTGCTAAACCGGGCCTTGGTTTTAACTTGATGCAAAAAATGGATGTTGTTTGTTTTTATAAATTTATAACAATATTCCTAATTTAATATTTTCGCAGTTCGTTAGTTCATTAGAAAGAAGGTCAAAGGTTACAGCCTCTTTTTTTTTTATTTTCAGACGTGTATGGGTAAAGATGTAACTCTTCATGTATCCGCTACCAATCCTGGCATGTTGCTTTATCAGAAATTTGGATTTAAACCCGAAGAATTTCTTCTGGACTTTTATGATAAATATTATCCACTAGACTCTAAAGAATGCAAACATGCTTTCTTTCTCCGATTAAGAAAATGACAGAATAAAATTAGAGTGATTGTTGTTGTTTTAATAATAGTTGGCCGAGAAAGTTCCTCAAGACTTTCAGGTGTAGTTACCCCCTCATCACTGGTTCAGGACAGAGGACAAATAACCAAGGTTTTGTGTACACGTAGAAGAAACCTTTGACAGTTGGAATTCAAAATAAGAATAGTCTGTAGTGCCACTGTCCAGGCAAAATATCATTGATAGCACATCTTTTATTTGCCTGATTGGTGCAGAGGAGAACCCCATTTCATTTTTTTTTAGTTTCATCTGGTAAACTTAGAGGACTCTTTAAAACCTGAAAAATAGGACATTTAACTCAAGGTTGGCAACGTTCGTCTGTGTTCTCCTGCTTGCCACCATCCCAGTGATTACTGATTAGGTCACTTATTTCCAGGAGCAACACCTTAAAGATACATTATGGGAGATTCGATAACGAGTTGGCAATTCTCACTATAATAGTTAAACACTAGATAACGTAAAGGCAATTTGTTGAAAATTTCATTCAAATTGATCCACTATGAAAGGAGAACAAAGCGAATGAAATTTCTGCCTAGCCTTGGTAATCATTACTAAAGTCAGTATGATAAACAGCATAGTCTCGATTATCCATTTAATCGTTAAATCGAGACAGAAAGTTATGCAGTAAATCGGCTCACAATCCACTTATGATCACAGGCTAGCGATGCCATCTAGAGTTGACTATGGTCTGGATAAGTTAATTAATGTCTAATTAATAATTTAGATAACATTTCAGGCCTAAAGAAAGACCTGCAATAGACAGATTTAGCTCTTGCATAATGTATCTTTAAGTTTGGAGTGATAATGATCATGAAAGGTCCTATTATACAGATAAAACAAAGACCTTGTGTCGCCATGTACTCTTCATTGAATTCCAACTGCAAGTGAACTTCAAGTGCTCCCAATGTGTTGGATGGCCATATTGGTTAGCACGTGCGAGCTGTATCATAAGGTCTGTCATTGAGTCAACTGGCGTGGTTTCTCCGGGTCCTCTCACTGTTTTTAAGACCCATCCAAATAACTAGGCAACTCTCTCCTTGTCAGATCCTGCAGACAACACCCCCGACATGCAACTCTCTCCTTGTCAGCCCTGCAGACACCACCCCTGACATGTGACTAGGCAACACCCTTGACATGCGACTAGACGACTGTCTCCTTGCAGACAACACCCGTTAAGGAAGAATTTGACTCATTAATTCCTGAATCTGAACCTGTGGAAATTCTAGGCAACAAACGACTAGGAAACACTTTTCTTGGGAGCCCCCAGATGCCACACCTTGGCTTCAACACATCTAGGGACATTCTGGTTGAAAGGTCAGTGTCCTACCACTCGACCACTGTAGCCCCCAAACAAAATGGCTGAATGCCGAATATTAATAAACACAACAAATTAAATGTCATATAATAATTTTTTATCATGACTGTTTTACAAGCATGAAAACTCTAAAATACTTGATAAAAACCCCATTGATAAATTACATAGAAATTACAACTCTGAAAACCATCAAACAATATACATAAACCATTTCAACCAGGACATCATATTTACCGTGGTGACAACTTACAATATAATTTACTTTTATGTACATTCATACTTCCCATACAGGAATTATCCACCCACAAGGACTATCCCAAGTCAGCATTCAGGACCACAGCCCTAAAACTTTTAGATTATTATTTTCCCAGGGCAAGGTTAAATCAGAAGGAGATACCCAAGTTAGCTTTTAGGATCATAGCCCTTAAACTTTTAAGATTTGAATTCTCCTAACGAGGTCTAAATGACGAAGGCGGTATCCATTAGCCCACGTCATCATTCAAGAACTTGGTGGTAAAACTTTCAGATTCTGCAACATTTCTTGACTTGTTTTATTAGCTCTAATCCAAGAATAGAGCTAATAACACAAGTCAAGAAATGTTGCATCTGCTACCAGTGTGTCATGAATTAGGGCATCACTAGAAGCCATTTTGACAACTGTCTTATACTGACAGTGGCCTTGCAGAAAATTTTTATTACCCCTATTTAAAGACTGCTGCCAGTGTTGTGTCGCCCCCTTATATATTACAATAGGGCTTCATTATATCACTGTTGGGAGCCATGTTGACAACTGTCTTATACCGAAACTGGCCTTATAGCGACGCTCTGATGTAACAGCTTCTATCAGGTAAAAAGTTTCAGGTCAAACCTCCATATCGATACCTGTACAACTTTTTAAGTTAAACATTCAACTAGCCAATAACCACTATTTCTATATTACATACCTATAGTAACACTTTCTAAATATATCATCTAATATTTCATATTTTACAACATTATAATTAATAAATAAATATTCACACAAAATAAAAAGTTCATTAAGAAAATAATTAATTAATTGAATGTCTTCATATTAAAAATCATTATAAAAACTAAGAAAATGAATTCTTTTTTTTTTGTAATTTTAATAAACACGTATTATTTATAGTTGTTCATGTCTTTTACATCTTAATAAGGTCAAGTCGTGTCCGATACTTTCACTGCATTAGCTAAGTTTGTTGTACTATGAAAAATAAGTTTTCTGAATGCAGCTGTTTGATTGGCTGGGCACTTCAATCCAAGGGTAACAGACAGTATACTTTCCTGTGGGAGGAAAAAGAAGAATGTGACCCTAAAAGCATGGGATTGAACTCACGGCACTTGCATTGAGGACATGAGACCATACTATCTGTCACATAAAAGCATGGTACTCAACTCCCGAGGACACAAGACCCTGCTACTTGTCTCATTCAAGCATGTGACTGAACTCATGTCACATGCATTGAGGACATGAGGCTCTACTACTTGCCACATACATGCATGGGACAGACCTAATGATTTGTAGACCACCCAACCCAAATTGACTTTAATTTTTCCATAAGAATATTTTTTTATCCTAGCAGACAACAATTTAGCTACTACAGTGGAGGTAAAAGACATGCATGTTTGTGACCCATGACATTATGAAGATGGCATATATTACTTGCACTCTTAATTTACCTACATTAAACATTCAATGATGGATGGTAATAAATTTAATTTATTTAACGATTTGCTTAATTATAAAAACCAGTTTCAACAATACACACACTTATTGATGGTTGTACTCGTATGCTAATAATTTCAATTTAATGATTTCTTTAAATGATAAATTCCAATTCGCACAATACATACATTTATTTAAACGTAAAATGACCTCTCAAACCCTCAACCTATTGTAATGCATTCATGAACCATTTCCAAGCTAGGAAATGGAAAGAAAATTCATAGAAAAGAGACATCTTCAAAACATTGTTTATTTATTTAGATAGTTGTAATAGAGGAAAAAAATCTTTAATAATTTAGAGAATAAAAATAATATTTACCTTACCAGTATTTACAAAGTTATTATAAATTATATTGTATCTTTAATTACTTGATTCCATGCAAATACCACACAACAAGTTTTAATTAGAAATCTTATGTAATACTTACACACATACAATAACACACTATCTATGGTTCTATATTTGTTTTTATTTTTAATAACAAAATGGGACTCTATAAACCCCCAAGCATAGATTCAATATAATGGCAGAGTAGATTGCAATGATATAGAATGAAATCATACACAATAGTCATAATGATATAGTACATGTTTTATAGATTTAATGAGAATCGCAGCGCATCTAGGTGCTTAATACGGCTCTTTTTAATATACTTTCTACAATAAAATGTCCAATACACATGGAATATACTACACAGGTACATTGCATGCATTCTATACATTTATATTTAAAAATTTATCATGTAATAAACTATTTTAATAGTGATGTATAGTGATGTGTGATACGAAAGTTACAAGGCATGCACTCTATAGTTTTAAAACTAAAAATTTCCCTTCTCAAACATTTATAAGTAAAAAACCTATTTTAATAGTGATGTGAAATGATGCAATAAATATAGATATAATATATACACAGGGCTGTTGCAGAAAACTTTAAACTATACTAAACCACGGTTACAAGTAGCAGGTTGTCTGCGATATCACACTTGGTGGAAGCGGACGTTAAGCTCGAAGAATGAACGGTAGCAGTATATATAGGTAGCAAAACATGTACTTCTATGAAATGTCTTTCTCATACCTACTGGTAGATTCACCAATGCTTCATATTAGAATATAACAGGAAGCTATTAGGTACCAGAAGCATGAAATGAATGATAGTCAATGTCTTCCAGTCTACAATTAACTAAGGACATAGGAAAATTACATAAGTTATTTTGCTAAAGTTAGTTTGTTTCAAATATTTAACCTAACATATTGACTGTTGTCTGTGAGGTGCTCTACGATCAAGGTGATAAAGAATGCGCATTAACGATTCACAGTTTCCAGATAAGATTTATAAAATTCAAACTATGAAACATTTTCCTGGAACAGCCCTATTAATAATTGATAAATCACAATCTAAAATGTTTAAAATAAAAAAAACTCCACATTTGTTGTTGTGTGAAGTGATGTAAATAGCGGCAGTGTCATATTAGGAATGTTTTAATGGCACTTACATAAATAAATAAAATCCCCGTCAAAGTATTGTTATTTTCTGGACAACTGTGGAGCTTCAAGATCATTCTAGTTTGATCTTAAATTATCGGCATGCTTAAAACTTTCACCCTCATCCTACAATTTTCCCCTGTCATACTACGTTCTAGATTGTGAAATTGTGTGTCATTGTGATCAATCGTACACAAAAATCACAATAGCTTGACGGGGAATTAACCTCATAAACCTGATATATTTTGATATTATAACCATGACTTGCCATTTCATGTCACATTAACAATCTACATTTTACCTCAATTAATAAATTCATTTCAATCTCAAAACAAATTTCATTCATTACCCAAATTCGATGATTAATTTCGTCTGCCAAAAGTAACAATTCTAAAAGCCCTAACAAGATCATAACAATCAATTTTTTTTTTTTTACATAACATCTTTTTTTTATCTTATAAAATAATTTCAGATTAGGCACTATAATTTACATTTTTTTACTTTGATAATTTTATTTGCCATTTTCAAGAAACGTGCAATAATTGAATAGTGCCATTTATAAGATTTTGAGATCTGGAACCCTATTTACAAAAACCTTAAATCAATTCTAATTTTAAGAACACCAGTTTTCAAAGATGGCCGATTTCTTTCAGTCATAGTACATTATACATATAAATCATTCAAGATCTCATTTACATCGCCCAAGGAACAAAAACATCTGAGCTCTTTGAATTAAGTTCTATAGTAACCGTGCATTAACATGGCCCAAGGAACAAAAATATCTGAGCTCTTTGAATTAAGTTCTACAGTAACTGTGCATTAACATGGCCCAAGGAACAATAACATCTGAGCTCTGTGAATTCTACGGTAACCATGCATTAATTAATCTATTTACAGTCTTAATTTTTATCAACATTTCCATAATATATTTATTAATAGAACTGTAGATCTGTATTGCTAAAAATACATAATATACTACTATAAATTCTATATATGGTCTCAACTACTCTAACAATTACAGGTTGTCAACACATCAGTTATCTTTCTGATGTCATAGCAACTAACAACAGTCAATGGAATGCACCCTCCTATTGTGAAAGGAAGTGAACTTGACAAATCAATCATCTTCTCTCATGTCTCCTGACAACGGACAGACCACTTTTCTAAATGTACAAAATCCTTTGCGTCTGAAAGATTATTACTAACAGAAATATTTTACACTATAGGAAGTGTATTTGACTAATCAAGCATCTACTCAAATGCTTCCATAACAATGGATACTCATTCTTTGCATCTGAAAAATTATAACTAAGGGAAATATTTTACAGTAAATGAGTTACCATTAACAGACATTTAAATTATAGCTTTAATATTTACAAAAGACTTTCCAGTTTTAAGCAGTTGATAATACTTAAAAAAACAAAAATCATTATCACATCAGTATGTTCCTTTAAAATATACCAGAATTACTCATTAGCCCAGTGGACAGCATCTAGTTGTTCGGATGGGACATGAAAATAAGATCGTGTGTGCATGTTGGACATGCACATAGATAAGAGAGTTGATTATGGTCTTTTCATGTGAATAAATGTTTAGAAAATAATTTATATAACATTTGAAGCCAGTAAAAAGACCTGCAATATGCAGATTTAGCTCTTAGATAATACATCTTCAATCAGAAAGACAAATGGAGTGGTTGTTGTTTTTTTTTCAGAGACCAGAGTGTATGAGAACTGGTATATAATAAAGGAACGGATCAACATGATGAGATACATGTATGATCACTTTAAAGATGTGTATGGCAAGAGATCTATTATTTTGATGGTCATCACCTTGAAAATATACATAACAAAACACAGTCCACGACTGAAGCATACATTAACATTTCAGAATGACAAACCATACTATGTACCTGCCTGAAAATGATGATTTCAGTTATACCTGATAAAATGTCTGTCAGTAATACACTAGTACAGTTAGGTCTAAATATTAAGGCCACTTGCAGATTTCGTCAAGGTTACGAGATGTAAACAAAGCTAGCACTAACCCTAACCCACAATCTTGTCAACAAGCATGTGCCTAACCCTATTTACATCTTGCGACCTTGACGAAATCTGCAGGTGGCCTTAATATCAAGTTTATCCTCGAGTGTTGTAGATTATTCATACCCTCTATTCTAGGATTTCAGTGCCCATCAATCGACAACAACAAAAGCATTAATTTATGGTTTGTCTTTCATAGATGTTATTACATGAGTTGATCTAAAGCCTTCCCCTTTCCAAGTTTCAAGTTACTTGATGATCTCATCTTTTACCCCTGAGTCAAGATTATCCAGTCTCTTTATAACTAAAGAGCAGAGGATTTTGATGAACATCTTACATCAGCTATAATATCGATGTTGTCTATTTTCAGATCGGTTGGTCATGGGGAGGTCAATTCCATACGGAAAAATCATCTTTCGTGAAGTCTGGGTCGGGGTTATGATTACCTACCCCTGACACTGACCCTTGCCATGTTTATCTCAATGTATGGTTAATTTTTTTGACCTCCTGATTTACTGGCCATCTGGGGAGGTCAATTCCCAAACAGAAAATTCTTCTCTAGGGAATTATGGGTTTGGAGTACAGGTTAACTACCCTTAATGCTAATGTAACGGACAGGGTATTATATTTTTTCATAGTGCAGTGTATCGCAGGGTAATAAGGGAAATGAGGCTCATGAGGAAAGCCCTTGAGTGTTGAAAGTGAATTTGTTTGTAGCCATACCCTAAATTGATGCATAGGTGAAAGCCTAGGCAACTCTAACCCCAAATCATGTGGTGTTTAACTCTGTGTATGGAAATATTCAACCTCTTCAACCGATCGGAAAATAGACATCGACTATAATATCACCCACGTTGTAATGGGGGGGTTGTTTCGTTATTTCTTTTATCCTGACACATTTAACGTTTAGAATGAGGTAGGTGGTATATACGGTCAGTTTGTTATGGTGACCATGGGGATTTCACAACTATTATAGATAGATAGATAGATATATAAATAGGCAGCAACTTGATGATCAATATCTACATGTAACTCCATTATAAAAACAAGATGGCGGTGGAAACGATTATAAACAGTGGCTTGCAGAGGTTTGGTGTTGCCTGGGGCCAATTCCTTGATTGTATGCCTCCTGAAATGGAAGTTCAGGGGCGTCGTCCCATCTGCCCCACCCACTCTGCATGCCACTGATTGTAAATACTAGAAATATAAATCAAATTATCTTACAGTAAAAAATAAAGAAACTCAGTTTAATCAGCTTTACAACCATTGATTGATATTATGGTATGTGTGTGCGGAGGTGATTTAAGATTGATATTACAGTCTCTGATCGTTAATTGGCTTTTAAAATACAATATTGTAAAAGTCTAATCTCTAAAAAAATATCAGTCCAAAATTGGTTAAATTCAGTTCAGTATTTACAAAGATGAATTGAATATTTGTTGTTAATATTCGGCATCCACTGCAGAAGACATATCTATATTAATATACTATCCATACTAGGGTTGTCCCAAGACTGATAGCTCGGACCAGGGAGTAACATAGATAGGGTGGCGATGGATCACCACATCCGGTTTTGGAGTTATGCTACTTCCCGTCATCGTGCTATTTCGAGTCAAACGCTAGTCATTGGATATTGTCAAAACCAGACAGCGCCACCTATAATTTTCATGAAATCTTTTGATGGGCCTCTTTTTAATCCAATTTAATTAAATGTTAAATAATCAATTTAAGTTCATCTTAGCATGGATTAAGCCGTAAAAAAATTGGATGTTGTCTGGAAAAATGCAAAAGACGATCAGTGACTTTAAGCATGTGCAGAGGTGATTCAAGATAAAATACTTTATTTACAAAGCCAAACATCATGTAGTGATCCACTACGTAGGTAGACGTACCATTTATCATATGTGATCCATCACTGTAAAATGAGTCGAAAGTCACAACTCATTGTTTACGATAATAATAGATGAACAAAATGTCGAAGCAGGCTAACAAAGTTTGGTTTGCTTAATTTGTCAAATCTACATTTCTGCTTTTCGTGTTAAATCGTTAAAAGCATAGTTTTAGCCTATTTTAACATTTTTGTTCATTTCGTAATAGATTTGTTATTTCTGGATCATTTTGCTACCATGGGTCACATAAGTCTTGGGGGCTGTTTCACGAAATTTTCACTAAGATAAAATCCAAATTTTAGTAATTTGATTGCATAATATTAGATTGATTTTAGTGCTTAGCCAATCAAAATTGAATTATCTACTGAAATATGGATTTTATCTTTAGTTAAGATTTCAAGAACAGGGCCCTGAATAACATCATCTCAACAACATTTATCTTATATCTCTAGAATTAACCTAATGATAATCTCGATACAATAAATTACAAATTTAATTTGGACTAAATCTACAGTATCCTACAGTATATATTGATAATTTTGTAATCCAGTTGTCTGCCCCTCTTGTCTTCAAACTTCAAAAATGTCAATTTTTTTTCTTGGTTGAAACAAAAGAGTAAACTAAATGTGTGGAGTTTTAACAGTGTACTTTTCTCAACAGAAACAAAACTATATGATCAAAATTTAATTCACAATGTTTTATCATCAAGCCTGGAAATAAACCAATTGTCATTGGCAATGTCTGTCTAACATTCAGTCAGACACAATACTGGCTCTTGTCAGGAACAAAATTTCATATTTTTGGTGTTTTTGTTTTAAAATTCAATTATGTCCACCAGTAACTTTATAAAGTTGAAATAAAATGGTAGGTATTTCTAGGCCTAATTGTTATTATATTACATATATTATATATCATGATATAAATATCTTTACAGTATAAATTACGATGGAAAATATATAAAGTAAAGTTATAAAAATTGGGATCATTTTGTGTCGTCGAGCCCTGATCTTCGAGTCTGCTGCCATTTTAACATCCTGGTCATCAATTTGTTTAATACTTATCAGCCACCATCTTTATTTGTTGTTGTTGTTTATTTATTTATGTTGTTGCTGTTGTTGTTGTTGTTGTTGTTGAGCTGTATTATTTAAAACAACTACGAATGCATAACCTACAAAATACACATTTGAAAAGGTTATAAAAAAAAAAAGAAGCAGAAATGTTTTGATAAATGTTTTAATATCAAAAAGACCAGAATTAAATTTCATGAGTTGATTTGTATTGTAAAGCAGGAATCTTTCTGCTTTAAATTTCTAGCACCACAGATAGAGCCAATGTCGATAACTTTTGAGCAAAATGAGGGAGTCATTTTAGTGCAATAGGAATCCCTTGCAAACTACAATATTGTGAACGGTGAATTTCCTTGCTTGGATTCAACTGATAAATTGTTTCAATGGCATTTAGTAATTGAACTGGAGTATACAGGTGACAATATGGAATACAATTACTGCTTATTACTGAGTGACGTTTCGACTAGGCTTCTCTAGTCATTATCAAGCAATGATAAAATATGATAAGACAATCTACACAACAATACTTGGTTAATACAGTTATAAGCAGTAATTGTATTCCATAGAATTGTCACCTGTATACTGTCGATTCAACTGGATTCAAAATATTTCAGTGAAAATCATAGGTAGTTTTCTAATACTCAACAAAACTGAATCATTCAGGCTGGGACTGATATCCTTTCAGTGATTCAATGTTCACAATATTGTACTTTGCAAGAGATTTAAAATTCCCCAAGTGACAATCAACAGTTTAAATTTTTCCCTATTTCATGTATATATTATAGGTACAGTATCCTAGGTTCTGTGACTTGTATGTATATTGAAAGTTGTGTCCAAAACAATATCATATTAATCTCGCATGTTGACTGAAAAAATTAGAAATTTTAATGTTTTGTACTCTACTTCGGATAGAAAAGCGGCAGAAAGATTGGAGATATTTCTTTAGAAAGGTAAATGATTCAGCTTTTCAGGTATTACAGAGAAAGAATTGGACTAACATTATCAAAATCCTTCAAAAACAGGTCGCTATCTTTCTGACTTTCCCATGTCATTACCAAAAAAAGGGCCAGGGGGGAAAAAATAAGACGCTTTGGACTAAATTGTTTCAATGGCATTTAGTAATTGAACTGGAATATACAGGTGACAATTCTATGGACTAATAGAGAAGTCGAGATGATGTAGTGCTACTGTACAATACCAAGAAACCTACCTAAATATTAATGTCTGCCCATGCCACCTGCACCACCATTATAATTTCTCCAATTGCCGCCATTATTATTGCCTGTCATGTTGTGGTTGTACTGTATTCTTATATTTGGGTTCGAGTTCATAGCATTTCCTCCTGGCATGTTCATACATGGAAAATAGATCCTCGTTCCATTAAATTCTCCCCGAATTCCCTTCGTTCGAGGTCCCTTCATTTCTGGTCTAACATTGAAATCTTGCCTCATGCCATTAGATCGTACACCATGACCATAATCTTGTCTGTTGCCCAAATATGGTCGGCTTTGTTGACCATTTACCGGCCCTGGTGGACGGTGATAATTTGATTGGTCAGGATAATTCATTGGTGGCCTCACTGTAGATGAAGGAATATCATTGTGATTAGTGTTAATGGCCATCAATGGTCGGATATAGGGACCTGGTCGCATGTCATTCTTCATGCGTTGGGGTTCCATATCGTGCATGGGCATGTCTGGTAGAGGATTCTGGGGCGTAACGGATAAACGTGGAGTGCAACTGGGAGGTGGTTGATTCATTGGTGGAAGAAGTGGTGGTGCAGGGGATGGTGTTGGTGAGGGCGTGAAACATTGGTGGTTGGGATTATTGTTGTACATGGGAGCAGATGTGTTCGAGGGAGGTGGTTGTTGGATGTTAATTTGGGGACTCAGATTGGGCATAGAGACAGGATGTGGTGGGTTATTGAGATTAGGAGGGAAGTTAGTTGGTGGGGGACGTGTTAGGTCTGGCATACTGGCTCTCCCTGGCATCTTAGCAAACGGTAACCTAATGTTATTTTGAGCCACTGTTGGCCCGTGATTATTGTTTATGAAATGTCCCAGTGGTGGTGGATTAGATGGTCGCATCGGGACATTATCATGTGGATGGGCTGCATTATATCCCTGAGGCATTTGTTGATACATTACACTAGGGTGTGGAGCATTATTGACTGATGCCTTATCACATACGTTATTCTTTTGTGTAATTTCTAACGGTGGAAACAACGGTGCCGTTATCTGTATAGGTGGCAGCGGCGGCGGGGGTACATTACCTAGTCCATGATTGGCTATACTATTGTTATTTGTAACCACCATGACCCCACCGCCATTTAAATTAGTATTATTGATCACACGCACATTTCCACCATTGTTTTTAGCGTCTGTGTATGATTTGACCAATGGAGACTCAGACGTTAACAAAGTTTTCGTCTTATATCTGTCACTACTTTTCCGGCGTTCAACACTACTGTCACTTGAACTATCCATACTACTACTGCTTGTACACGACGAACTGCTCGACGAACGACTTCTTGATGAACTTGAAGAATGTGAGCGACTCGACTTTGCACGACTCGTTGGTCGTGAATTGCGTGGTGATCTTACAGGTGAACCAGGCGGGGTACATGGTCCTCTTTTATTGGTAGGCGGTGATCCGGGAGGAGTACGTGGTCCCTGAGAGTTTCTTGATGTATTACTACTCAGTGAAGATACACTACTCATAGATGGCGAACCATTGCGTCGTAAATATTTCGGAGAACTTGTCACAGTTTTGGCGAGTTCTTTCTTTTTATCCATTTTCACACTTGGTGGTCGTTTTGGTGAAGGAGTACTCATTGAATCAACTTCGTCTATGCCCTTTCTTTTCATCTCTCTATTACGGTCGAGCTCCGAGGATGCAAATGCTACAAGGGCATCAAAACCACTGCTGATCTGCGCTTGCCAATTATTTGTGGTACCAGATTTTCGGCCTTTATCACCTATGAGCAGACAAAAACGCCATATTTTAGTCTTTGTTTACTAAGTCTACATGTATCTAATTGTTTCTGTTTATTTATTTATTTATTTAAGATACAGAAGACACCAAAAGCCACTGAAAGCTAGCATGCAATAAAAGATAGGACTAGACAAGAAACAGAAGAGAAAGAAAAACAGAATCATCTTGGCATCATATCGGTTGTCAAAATTTTGATTAGTAATAAAACGAGACTAATAATGATTACATCTTCAGTTTCATTTTTTTGACTTTTTTTTAAAGCTGCATGCTTCTACCAATATCGCCATTCCAAATATTTACAATGTAACTGTATCTGTACAAATTTACTTTCTAAGTATAGTTATTTTTTTATTTTAAGACATTTAACAAATTAGAGGCTTGATTGATGCATTATTTCGCGCTATAGTAATCGATTGCTAACTACAATATTGTGAAGGTTGGATCTCTAAAAGGAATATCAGTCAATAAATGGTTCAATTTTGTTCGGTATTTACAAAGTTATGATAAACTGAAATTTCATCGATCAATGTAGCTTGCCATAAGATGCCGCCATCTTTTATTGGTAGTTTAAATCCGATTGAATTCAAGCTGGGAGATTACCTAGCGTTAATTAATTAATTAATTCTTCAATCTGAGTACATATTTAGCGTCAATTAAGTCAATTAAACCATGAGAAATTTGATAGTTTAGCAAAACTGCAAATGACGAATTGCGCCTTTAAGAGTAATTCCAATAATTTTTTAAAGCTACAGTGTAATTGTAACTTGGCAAATTCACTTTTTATGTATTGTTATAATTCTAATGAAGACGTAACAATTTAAGAATAGTTCCATTTCCAATGATGTTTCTAAGTATTTTTCGAGTCGCAAGTTATTTACGTCACATGTACGATGAAGATGATTGAAATTAGACTGGTTATTTAATCAAATTAATATAAAATAAAACAGAAGAGACTAGAGAAAGAATGTGATATTTTCAAGTGACAGTAAGTGGGATTATTGGCTGTTTTTTTGTAAAATTAGCTAGAATCCTGTCCACTATGAAAGGTTAGTTTTATTGCGGTGATGTATATGTGTATCTACTGAGTACAGTAAACCTAAACCACGTTGCTAAGTATTTTGATGCCAGGGAGATAAAGCAAGCCACACAGCTAATAAAACCCACTTATATATTTCAAATATATACATAGGTCAACAACACACCATTAATAGTGAATAAAAACAAAAATAATACAATAAGTTTACCAAACAAAAATGCTACAAATAAACACTTTCACAACATCTCTTCATCACAATCTGTACTTTTAAGAATGACAAAAGAAATGACAATCTTCTGTCTCACTAAACATTAACAAGGGGGAGCAAGGACTTTGATATTTTTTCAGTTTTGTCGTTCGGATGGATATGAAAAACTGAGATGCGATGTACTTGACACGTAAATGATCCTTTGACAGGACTTCGTGCTGCTGTCTGGGCAAAATAACCCTCATAGCACACTTTCATGTACACGTAAAAATGAAATGAAATAGGGTTTAAAGTCCTATTGTTCTGCTCCTATACTGGGCTAATGAAGACAGGCATATGCCATACAGTGTGCTATGAGTTAAATTTTGCCCTAACAGCCACGCTACAACCTACATTTATTTCGAATCCCAACCGTCAAGGGTTCTTTTACGTGCACACCAATGTGTACATAGGGCCTCGCCTTTTCGTCTCATCATTTGTTACTTATTTGTAAATACATGTATCTAGCTAATCTTTTCATTTCAATTGTCATTCCAATCAATGTACAATAAACAAATATGATTCATTGAATAGTTCCAATGATGTTTAGTTTTATTATAATTCAAACTTTCAAACACAATTAAAACAAAAACAGGGATGAAGAATGCTTTACATATATCTTAAAACAAAAAAATACACAAAACAAGTGTGACAGTAGTACTTTATTGACCAGGAACAGAGCATGGCGTCATTGCCACCAACACCAATGACATCTGGGATACATCAAAATTCAACAAATGCCCTAGTCATGTTTTAAAAAAAAGTCCACTATGAATTCTGTCCCAAGCTCTAAAAGGCAAACCGATAATGAAAAGATAATTCTTTGAAATTTTGAAGTAACAACTCCATTAAGGTTGAAAAAGCGGTCATATTGTTGAATGTAAATGGAAAGATAATTAGGATTTCCAATCAAAAATTTTGAATTTCAATAGGGTTCTTAATCATGACCAAATGACTAAGCCCTTAAAATAATCTATCAAGAGCGGTAGAAAGGATGACGGACAAGGGGGACGACAATATACGTGCACGTAAGCAAATAAAAACTTGTCTTCATTTTGCTGTGCATAAAGCAGAGGCTTGCTACATTAACATTGAAGTGCAAAAGCTACAAGGCTTACCAACATTATAGCCAGGTCTTTATTTAGGCAACACTGAGTCTGATGGTTTCTTCCAACATGTTTTTTTCCTAAATTCCCTAAATGCTTTTTTGGTAATTTTAAATTGATAAGATTTTAAGATTTGAGGTGTTCAACTGAGCCTGAATTCAATCGAGCCTGGATTATTAAGAACAAATGCCAAAAATAACTTAAGTGTTATACAATGGTTTGAATTTTTGAAAAGATTCTCAGTCCAGATTGAGAATGTTAGGTGGTCCTATTTGGAGGCCTTTAAGAGTACTCTACATTGGACTATGTTCTTCAAAACTTAATCTCTTACACTTAATTGTTCCAATATTAGCTAAAGTGTGATTTTATGCTGCATAAAATTTATAATTTATTTTCTTGATTAAAGTGCAATGATTGTTCCAGTTACCCTATCTTCGTTAGCCCAGTTGGTAGACCCTTAAACCCCATTATTTTTCATTTCAGTTTCAATCGATTTTAAGAGCTTTAAGTTTTGAAAAACGGTCCAGATGGTCGAGAATATTAATATACAATATGGTTCTCACCTCGAGGTGGTTGTTGTTGATATGTAGCCTGAGTAACTTGTTGTACCGCACCTATCGCATTCCCTTGTATAACATAGTTCGGTTGAATATTCGTCAGATTTATTGTCTGAAGATTACTGGATCGTCCCGCACTTGCGGTTGTCGTCTGCCCTGTAACTGGTTTTGAGGCTGGTTCTTTATTTTTATTGGCTGCACGTCGAGATTGAGGTGACGTCGTTATTTTTGTTAATTGTTTGCTCCCCTTTTTATTCGTTTCAACCACGACAGGCTTCACGATGGTTGGATTAACAGTTTTTGATCCTGACGAATAGCACTGATTTTGTAATTGTTTTACAATGGCACTGTTTAGACTCTCTTTATTCTTAGCTAATATCAACGGAGTATGTCCTTTAACAGTACCATTTAACAACGCCGGTTGTGTATCAATTTTCTGCACGGAGCTGCTTTTGGACGTATAATTGTACACAGGAGAATTAATGGTTACAAAAGAGCCATTTGTATGATTCAACGATTGCGATTCAGTTGACTTAACTGATTGGCTGATTTGTGGTTTGGTCATTAACACGTTACAAGCCGCTGATGTTGTTTTCGGTGTGAGATCTGAATTCGGTGTCGAGTCGCCACTGCTCCTGCTACTCGGTCGACTAGATGTACTGGTATTGTAACCTGAATCTTTTTGCGAATCCGGTCGGAAATTGCTTCCATCTTTCGGCAGAAGTCCAGTTTTCAACTGAATGAGACCGTCTGCTAAAGCTAACCTCAGTTTCGAATCCGCGTCATCTGAAGCATTAGCAGCTACTTTGAGATCATGACTATTATTCTTATCAACACTGGAATGTGATAACTTTTTACTAAGATGGAGACCATTTGGCACAGATGCGGATTTCTTTTCCGATTTGATATTACTAGACATTGTAATAACCTCTCGACCCTTATCGACCATGGTTGAACTTGAGGTGTTGACTGGCCTCTTCGTATTTTCTAATAAACTTTTAATTGAGAGATCTGGTTGGCTAATTTTTTCCAGTTTAATTCCATCCTTGATTTTTTCACAAGGGAGAGTTTTCAGCTGAATCCCATTGGCCGGTTTGTTGTTAAGCAACGCGGTTGTGACTTCATTCTTTAATACTGTCAAACTAAATATATCCTGATTGTTATTTTTATCTTCCTCAAGCAGAGATTGTTTGGCCTTCTTGGCATAAGACTTTGTTTGTTTAATCTCCCAAGTTTTGCTGATCTCCGAGTTCTTTTTCTCCAAACTCTTCACTTCTGCTTCTAATTGAGATACCTGCTCTAGAAGTTTATGTTTAGTTGCCATGGAAGCCGTTACCTCTTTATAAAGGTAGCTCTGAGTATAAAATGGCTGCACGATTCCGTTCTGGAATGTAATAAAAATTTCAGAAAATTAATTAAAGAATGATAGTGCAGTTTTCAATACAGTGTATATGCACCCCTTCCAACAGTGTCACAGTCAAATCCTTAGTTATAACATAAGGGTAGTATTAAAAAGCCGGGAATATCACCTTATGGCTTTATGCATCTAAGTAGAGAGAGAGAAATGAAGTTTAACGTCCACTTGACACAAACTAGGTCATTTCGGGACTAACATGGTTTATTTCAATAATTCGCTTGCGCATAGGGGTCTTTAGCAGTGGGAGGAAACCAGAGGACCCAGAGAAAACCCACAAAGTTGGACAGGCAATCCTACTCCTTGTCACGTACAACCGGGGAATCAAAACCAAGCCAGTTGACTCAATGACAGACCTTATGATACATTCGGCCATCCACTCCACCCATCCCCCATCTAAGTGGAACATAATAAGTATCATAGTGAAGCCTTAAAGAGGTGCCTATTGCAGGTCGATTTTCTTGCTTCAAATGTCATATAAATTATCATTTAAACATTTATTAACATGACAATCCCATAATCAACTCTATGAGCCAGTAGATTATAACACTGCTATTACATTTTATTTGTATAAATGTTTACCTTCTTGCTGCCTTTCTTGTCTCGATGTTTATTAGCTTCAGTCTAAAAAAAATAACAACAACCAAATAAACATAAAAATATTTCATTTCATCAATAGAAATAAATTAAATCCACTGATCGTTATTTGCATTTTTCAGAAAATATATAAATTTTCACAGCTTATCAACAGTAGATAATCTCCCGGTTTGTATTCAAGCAGTTTAAAATGCTTCGCTTGCTTTGGCCATTTCCCATTTATATATCATCCGCAAGAGGATTCTGAATGGTGACAAATTTTCAAGTGATCATATCGTTGTAAATACTGAACAGAATTAAACTTTGTTTGAGATGATATCATTTTAGGGAGAGAGAAATGTGGTTTAATGCCCACTCAACACACAGTACGACGTTAAACCCCATTTCATTTCATTTCCACTTGACAAAAACTAGGTCATCTTGGGAATAACATTACTCAAGTAAAAGCATGTAATTGAAACCACACCACTTGACTCATTGACAGGAGACCCAACCCAGCACCCCTCAAATGACAATCAGAGAATCTGTGTGGAAAAAAAAAGTGTGAAATCATTTAATAAAGATAAATAAATGACACTCATTAATTAATTGCACATTTATCTTTTTACAAATTGGCTTATCAATGCTTTACCTGTGCAGAAAAAGCTAATTATCATCTTAGTCAAGACATTATCAACTTAGTCAAGACATTCACCTCAGGAACATCTACACAAAGTCTGAACAATCTCCCTCATTTAGAAGCAAATGGACAAAAAATTTCCATTTTAATAGTCCCCTGCTTTTTTTCGGGGGACAATATATACACACATTAATTTATTGCTACAGTATTTTATTAGTAAAAGTGAAAAGTGCATTAACGATATATGGGTTAGACAAAAACACAATGATTGCTCCCTATCCACAATACGTATATATAGTAACCATTATATTTACAGATCAATCTGTAGTCTTAATCATCAAGTAGGAAATACTTAATGAACATGTCTACAAGTGGCATTTGATTTGATCAGCTACCAAGAATGCCCAAATCTGTAGCCTTGATCACTAAGTACTACTTTATATCCATAAAATCTGAGAAAAAAAACTTAACGAACAAGTGAGATTAGATTGGATTTGATTCGCTACCACGAATGCCCAAATAAATTTGTTCTCGAAGTCAAGTAAACACATAGTTATTGACACAAAGAAAATTTGGGTCTTACCAATAAAATCTTCTCCTGTTCCAGATTAGTAATCTGAGATTGTAAGAGATTAGTATGTTTTTCTTTTTCTTTATGTTCACTAACTATCCGTTTAGCTTGGCTTAAAAAATCCGATGGAGAATCAGCGCTTATTCCCAGCTGTAAGGACAAATGATATCCTGATTAGAGCAATCAATCAATCCAGTGGCGGAACCAGGTTTGAACCCTAGGTAGGGGCACGGGCATCCCCACCTCCCTTCCCCCCTCACTAAATTAGTTTCAATTTCAAGTATTATTCTTTTTCTATAAAAAGTGTGAATTTGAGCTTTTTTGTTGATTGAGGTTCAAGCTATGCAGCACAAATCACCATGGACACCCTCAAGCCCCCCCCCCCCCCCAAAAACCAAATATCCTGTGTCCTCCACTGAATCAATTCATTCAGGTCGTGCGTTTAGAGTGACAGCGGTACTTTCACAATTTCAGTCCATCAGTAAACTTAATTTTAGAATTGGGGTTGAACGTCTCTTGTCAACATGAGACTAACATATATAAGAGATAAAATTGAGCCAAACATGAGAGTATTTTGACGATAGCACTAATAAATATCCTCAATTCATTTCTATCAGAAAAGCATGACAATATTTAGAATTCTAGTTTTATTCAAGAAATGGTATGAAATTAAATGGGGTTTAACGTCCTACTTTTCTGCACTGACTGGGCTAATGAAGACAGGGTTTTATTCACGAAGAAAGCCAGCCCCTTTTACGCACCATTGTTTTTAAATACCAATAGGTTATTGTGAATTGGTGAAAGTACCATTGTCCTTTTGTTGGGAGAAATAGTCAAACAGTGAAACTTAGCAACATTAACAAGAGATTCTGTCATTAAGATTAGGCTTTTTCTTAACGATAAATATTTCTATGTAATTAAATTTTTAATATTATGATTTTTGACATTTGAAGAAGTTGGCATGACAACAATGAAGATTCTTGAAAAGTGTACATCGATGTCAACATTACAGGTTCATGTAAAATTTGAGTGTAATTTGAGTGTAATTGTGTTAGCTATGTTTCACTGTTTTGAGTTAATAGAGATAGAAAGACAAGACTAGAGAAGCTAGTAAATATACAATATATATATATATACAATAATAACATGACTGACCAAAAATCCTTAAAACTCCTACTTTATAAAAACATTTACAAATCAAGTGTCGGATCTTGATGATTCTATTTTCTTAAATAAAATCATTTATTTCAGATCAAAAGATTTATATCAGGAAATTTAGAATTCTGTCTGCTAAGTTTTTTTTTAACTAGGAAGTGTAAAGACACTTTAGATCGAGTAAATGGGTGGTAGTCGGCGGTCAACCGTGGTGAAAAGACACACCCATTATGAAGATGTTTCAGGGCAAACTTCATCATGTTGTAAAATAAAAGAAAAGCAATATTGGTTGTTCATGCAGGTATTCAAATGAAAACAAAAATTTTGTTTATTTAAACATTTTAAAGACCTGAAAAATATTTTTTTTCAATTCAATATTTAAGGAATTTAAAGGGACGTGGGAACCCTACTTTAGATCGAGTTGTGTATGGTACTGCTTACATGATTTGACGACCGGTTATAAGAGTTTAAAAAGAATTCTGGTCAGTGATCTACGAGTATATTTACTTACATCCCCGAGTCTGGATTTGAGCAGAGTTTTACTGTTTCTTTGAAGAGCTGTAATTTGTGTTTCTAACTGAGATACTTTTACTTCTAAATCTTTTCTTCTAGTCTACAAGATGAACAAGATAAAAAATATGGTACCATAAAAATATAATGCGAAATATCATTCCAGTCTGGAATTATACAAAAGAGCTGCGTTCGTAATTTTATATTTTCTTGTACATTTACAGTATCCAAATTGAGAAAGGTATAGGGTTTAACATACACTCGACACAAACAAGTTTATCTTAGGACTAACATATAATACAATTTTATTTAAATAATTTGCTTGCGGGTATGGGTATTGAGCAGTGGAATTAAAATCATGCCTTTTGAATAAATAATGATAAGACATTATGATCTAATCCCGGCATCTTAGACCACTGCAACCAGGAACCATTAGAAACAACCACAATCCGATGAGCAGAAAAATAAAATGGTAAACGTACCCTCTCTTTAATAATCTGTTGTTGAAGACAGCTTTTATAAGATGGAGACTGCATGTAAGCTAAGAATGTTATATATTGTTGACGGAGTTTATCTGATAAAAGAAATGAAAAGAGGTCAATAAAAATTTAAAACATTGATCAAAACAGTTCGCGACTCAGATAATGGGGCTGTGTATTTCGACCAATAATCATATCGTAATAAAACGAATTCCATTTTCAGGAGCAAAGAAAGACCATATTTTTATTGGAACACCCAAGAATGAAATCAGAAAAATGGAACGGGGTCTAACACAATAATTAGGTCATATGGAGACTAACATATGGTAACCATTTGGCTGGCATATCTCATCTTCATATTCCAATTATTACGAGACCTTTTATGTTCACAACAGGACTTCTTGTTATGTCCAATCTAAATGACTAAATAAACTTTGCATGCATTGCTCCTCGCCTCACAACTGGCTACTGGTTTATTCTGTAAATACAATGATTCAAAAACAGTATATGACTGCTGTACATAACTTAGATTCACATCGCTATAATCACTACAGGACTGCTTTCATTTTGGCACAATCTGAATGACTAAATAAACTTTTTGTGCCTTGCTTCTCACAAGTGGAGAGCTCCACTTGACTCAATGACAGATCTTATGATCTAATGCGCACAAGTTAAACCATTTGGTTTGGCCACCCAACCCCATCTTCCTCCTCACAACTGGAAAACTGAATCAAAAGTAGGAAGTGACTGCTGTATAACTCACCCATAAATTGATCTAATGTTTGAGGTGTTTCTAGAGATGATACAGTCTGACGTTGCGTGGTAGTTTTAAAATACGAGGTAGATTTACCCGTCATACGACTATCATTATACTTCTGAGAATCTTTACTTCCTGGAATCAGATTATATCCTATATATTATCACTAGTAAATACTTCCAACAGCTATACAACACAACACAATTTATATGGAAAACAATCATGGGTTTATACATATAGCACGATGTTTCAAAAAGTGCCCTCTTTTAGTTATCTAGCACGATGTTTCAAAAAGTGCCCTCTTATAGTTATCTAGCACAAATATATACACATGTATGACGTCTCAACAAGTGTTCTGTTATCATTATCTAGCACAAATATACACATATGCACGACATCTCGACAAGTTTTCTATTATCATTATCTAGCACAAATAAACCATTGATTGTTTTCCATATAAATTGTGCTGTGTTGTTTACAAGATATTATTTGACTAGTATGAAATTTCTTTCTTTTTTTTGCAAAAAAACATTTCAAACAAGACATACATCAAATGAGACATCATTGAAACCCATCTATCTAATTCCTGCATAATTGAGATAAAGAAAAGCTCTGTGAAACAAACATGAATGTTTTCCTAATTTAAATACATAGGCTGTTAATTGTTAACTGCATTTTTGAGAGATAGAGAGAGAGAGAGAGAGAGAGAGAGAGAGAAATGGGGTTTAACGTCCACCGTTTAAGTCCTCTCGACATAAACTAGGTCATTTTTGGGACTAACATCAGGTTCAATTTTACATTTGTGTTAGAAAAGTAAAACTGAATTATATGTTGTGAGAAGAAAAAGCTGATCTATGTATAAATGAAATTATTCTAATCTAAAGTTCTAACACAGACGCAAAAGTCATGTTTGCAGAGAAAAATGGAATCTGTTAATAGTCTCAAATAAAACACAAAATATTATGACAAAAAATCTGTCATATGTCGACAGAAAATAGGTATTTCCCCAATACATTAGCTTCTAATTACTCTTGCTTTTATAATTGCAATCATGTTAGAAAAGCCAAAAGGTTATCTGAAGAAAACATTAAGCACTAAATAGTAAATATTATGATCCGAAACTGTCATAGACAAGAAGAATAAATCCTGCAATTTGTCGACAAGAAATAAATTGTGTATTTACAACAGAAGAGAAGAAATAGATAGATATAAGCTATACCTTTGCCTGATGTTGAAAGCAATGTATGAGTATGAAGCAAATTCAGTCCATCCAAATCCAGAGCCTTATTTTTATTTCTGGCTTTCGTCTTGTTCCTTGAGTTAGAGAATGGTTTTTTCCCTGTAATATCAGAGATTATATATATATAAAGATATATATTTGTGACTGTCGTTTGTCTGTTTTTGGTTGGTGACTACACTAGGGCTGACCCGAGGCTGAAATTTAGGGTATTTGGGCAGCTCAAACTGGCTAGTGACATAGGCCTGGTGGCATTGCACTACCACTATCGGTTTTGGAGTTACACTACATCCGGTTTCATGAAGTCGAAGGGCTCTACCAGTGCAAGGACCGGTAAACAGCTAATAAGGGTAGTTCAATAATGACAGTATTTTCAAAAGCGGAAAGATCGAGATCACCATTTTGAAAAAAAAAAGTCATTCTGCCAATGACCCAATATCATTGCTTTCCTATCACAACCCTTTCAAAGTTGATATTACCAAGGCCAGGCGAAAGAATGTCAGACTGACAGTTTCTTTCTTTTTCCAAAAGTAAATATGCAGAAAAGCAATAGAAGAGGTAAAAAATATGGTTGTCATACAATAAATGACCTTTTTTCAATATTTTGGGTTTTGTATTTATCTGAACTTATTTCAATCTAAGTTTCCTACGTTTTGTTATTATTATATTAAAAAGCTTGTCTGACAAAAAATGAAACTCAAAAGTTAAAAAGCTTGTCTACGATAATAAGTAAAACTCAAAGTTCAATCTAAGTTTTCTACTTTAGTTATTATTAAAAAGCTTGTCTATGACAATAAATAAAACATAAGTACACATTAGCTAGAGAAGAAATAAATGACTATTAAAGATACATTATGTAAGATTTAGATAAAGAGCTAGCCATTCTTGCTATAAATAGTTCAAAAATAGATAATGAAAAATTAATTTATTGAAAATTTTATTTGGGCGATGTTACAACTGTTTGAAGGCGTAGTGTAGATTGTTTAATATCGTAGCAATGGTACTTGACACAGGAGACTAAGTCTCAATTTTCCATTTAAATCTTGGTAAAGAGAGTTGATTATAGACTTGTCATGTTCATAAATGTCTAAAAAAATAATTCATATAAGATTTAAGGCCTAAAAAAAGACCTGTAATAGGCAGATTTAGCTCTTACATAATGCATCTTTAATGAGTGAAAACATTTAATTATTAAAGCTATGTAATTTGGACATCGTCCATGAATGTCAAGGATTAATGTGTTGTAGGTTGTGAAGAAGATGGTGTAAAGATAGATTAATGAAAGAAAAATATTACTTGAATTATCTTTTGACTTCTTGTTGAATGCACCATTGAGTCTTTTGGTAGCACTTGTATTCTTCTTCTTCTTGAGTATCTTCGCTATCTTTAAATCTCTCTATTTAAAAAAAGCAAACAAGTTATTTATTTTTTTGTTTATATGTGGTTAATTCCATCCAGAGTACAAACTAGAGACAACTGGGGATTGTTGTGATGCAAGATTGTAATACCAAAATTGTCTTGGGACAATCAGGATTGTCATCCACTCATATTGGATGCATGATTTTAATTCCAGGATTAACTGTGCCACTGTGGTCAATTCTATCGCTATTACAGTTTAGAGACAAAATCAAGATTGTCGTCCTCCCAACGCCAGTGCGAGATTGTTATTCCAAAAATTTTGAGATTAACCAAATTACAATTGACTGAGTTGCGTCTTAGCTGATGAGGTGCAAGAAAAATACCCAACGTAATTTGGAGATTGGTAGGCTAGCAACCCTTCTCTTTACTATTCAGAATTATGGTATCAAATACCAGACCTAACTGTCACAAACTCGAGTTACATAAAACATTTAAATAAACAAACCATTTCTTCATTTTCTTCATCTTCTCCTGATGATTTAGGTTTTGTAACCCATTCTGTCCACGCCCGTCTGGTCGTTGGGCCAACGACAACTCCGTTGACTGGTCCATTCTCTTCTGTAGCGTTGGTACCTGTGCTAGCATTACTTGCGCTATCAAAATCCAGTACTTTAGCTGACTGATACGTGTGATCATTGTGATCTTTTGACAACTTCTTCTTGTCTTTATCTTTCTCTTCCTGTGAAAACAATATAAAATTCTATTAACAAGGGCTATAACTCTGACAGTACAGTAATTTTCGGAAATTGTTGAAAACCGATGGGCTTCTTTGTTCGATGAACATAAACCCTGTGTATAAATCTTAAGTCAATCAACGGTAACTTTAGCCTCTAGATCATCCCCAAGTAATTGTTGACAACCGACACAGGTGGTGACAATATACAACATTTCAATGTAGGTGAATAAATATCCCGGTAACATACTGATATTTGTTATCGGCAAAAACTGAGAAATAACACAGAGATGTATGGCCCTGTCATAAGTTGTTACATGAGAGCAAAACACACTGAAACTTGAAAGCAATCAGCCAAAGCAAGAGAGAGAAAAAGAGGGTTTAGTGTCCACTTAACACAAATTAGGTCATTTCAGGACTACAATGTTTATTTCAATGATTCGTATGTTCACAGGGACTTTGATTCGTATGTTCATAGGGAGTTTGATTCATGTGTTCACAGGGAGTTTGATTCGTATGTTCACAGGGAGTTTTAGCAGACGGAGGAAACTGGAGAGAACCCAAAATGATGGGATAGCGAACCGTACTTCTTGTCGCGTAGAAGCTTTGGATCCAAACCATGCCACTTGACTTAATGACAGATCACACGACCCCAATATCCATCAAAGCAAACCGTGTCTAGAGAAAATTAATCCTGAAGAAAATGGCCTATTTGGAAGTGTTACCGGATGTTTCTAAATATAAAACTTACACTATTAGATTTATCTTTAATCACACGACCCCGTCTGTCTTTGCGGACTTCTTCTAAATCCTGCAAACATACAAATATAGTTAAATCAACGGAATGTATATGCACATCCTGCCATATGCACAATACCAGTCATTGCTATGGAAGAACATAAACTGAAGTGGAAATGAACTGGTCACAATTCAGAATTCTGAAACGCTGATCAGTAATAAAAAAGTAATTAAATCTTATAGAATTGTGTCCAGCGTATTTGACATAATCCATCAAAAGCACAGCCCAGTATCCCTGAAAGACAATGGACTTTTCTTCAACAATTTTCTGACATTTTAGATCTTACAAAAGGTTTATTAACAACTGGTCTCTCATCATAAATGTAGTATAATATTTACCTTGGCTTTAGGATTTTTCAAACGCTGGAAATATTTCTCTAACTAAAATAAATGAAACATGAGAAAAAGATTGTAACAATTTTACGAAGAAATCATTTATTCAAATTAAAACTGCCAAAAAAAATTTTCATTTTCATTTTTGTTGTCTTACAATAATTATGACAAATATAATCCATATAAATAAATTGACTGAACATTTAAGGAAAGTGTTTCGAGAATTAAAATATGATATTAAAAATATTATTAAATAATAATTTAGGATAAAAATAACATGAAATGACAACAAATAAAGTTAGTAAGTACAATGTAGATGTTTGTAAGTCGAACTAAAAAAAAAATAGAATGTAATATTAAACTTAAAAAAACAAATAATGGACTACACTTCAGATTGAAAAACAAAAATAAAAACACAACTAAATAAAGCCTTTTACAAAAAAAGGGTGGTTTTTTATTTGCATTTTTGATTTAAGAATAAGCAAAGTTTGTGGTGCATTTAGAGTTATATATAACATTTATTTTAATTTTAAGATCTTTGCGGTTAAATTCTATAACCATTTTTGAGCACGAACATAAAAATTTGAATTAAAGAAATTAACATATATCATGAAATAAATATGTATTGACCTGTTCTTTCAATAGTTTTAACACAAAAATCATCAAACATAATCAAATAATAACATACTTAAGGCCAAATCAATTAGAATTTTTGCTCTTTGAAAACAAATTAAAACATTGCTTTCTATTTATGTAAGGATGTGGGCTAGGTGGGAAAAATTTTAAAACACAAAGACAGACACCAGAGGGATTACGCCTAACAAAGCATGAATTTATGTCCGATATCGTTAGTAACAGGGGCCTATTTTCCAAGATTGATGGTTATTAATGCCGCTGACGACGGGTCACACTCAACACATTTATTTCTTGCTACATATTAATTTCTTCTTTTTGGACATCAAAATCAAACAGACAAACACAATACAATAACTATCCTTTGATCCAAATTTTGTTTTTAACTACTGGGGAATAAACTGGGGAAGTACAATGATACATGTTCCTCGCGATTACTTACCAGTGTTCGATCTATAGTGTGAACAAAGTATGTGAAAGGCTTGCCAGTCCACGATACAGCCCCACACAATGGCGATAATTCCACCACATGCATTATAGATCCAATATCTGGAAGGCAGAACAATATATACAACAACCTGTCCAGAGTTTTGCCTATGACCTAAATAAATCTATCTCTCAGTATAATTAAAATCTGACTCTACTTTTGTTTTCTGGTTTTTTTATTTCGTTGCCAGTTCCACTCATGAATATTATCTCTGAGTTCAAATCGAACTCTAGTTTCGTTTTCTGTTTTACTATTTCCTAGTCATAAAATACACTACAAGGAAACCAACAGAACAAAATAAGTATCTTATCTTAAGACAATGAAATAAAAACATGAAAAGCGAAAGTAGAGTCTTGATTTTAATCATGTGATACCAGTGCAAGTGACTGTCAAAATCTGAAACACTGCCTATTGTATGATTTTAGAAATTTAACTTGACACAAAACTTATTTTTGAAAATTGCAAGCCCGTGTTTGTAACAAGAGCCATTTAAAACAAAAGCCCTCAAATTAGGGGTGAGAAAATTTACATCGGCTGAAAATTACATATCCCATTCTCAGAAGCGGGGAAAACACTGGGAATGAAAGCACTTTCTTTTTTTTTTGTAAACAATATTCTTATTCAGTAAATATCTTTATTTGGGGACAGACTATGCCTATGTGTAACCCCCCAAATCAAAAAGCTCTAAGCTAACTCTGGTTTCTCAACATAATGTAAGTATATTACAAGGCTGTAAGCAGTTAATGACAACCACTTTTACCTGTGATTCATTTCTTACAGTAGTCAGGTGATCTACATCAACATATCTCGACAAAAAACAAAAACAGAAATATTTTTATGGGAGAAAGCCATATGATAAAGCAAATGGATGATTTCTAACTATTATGGGATAGAATTCATGCGATGATTAGAGGCAAAAAAATATATATGTCTCTGAAACAATTTTTTTTATTGAAGCCGATTCAATCAAGGCAAAAGAATTGATTCAGTGATTTAAATATTTGTATGTATGTGAAATTTTTTGTTTATGAAGCCAGTGGAAACATTTTTTAATCTATTTGTTTTTGTCAAGACAAGTTAAGGTAGAATATTGGATGTGTGATGAAACATGCAACATGCAAGGGTATAAACATATTAGTACATAACATTACAATGCAGCAAAATAAAAAAATTAATAAAAAGCAACACAGAATAAAACTAAGATGGCTACTTGGCTGTGGCCAAAGGGGGCACAACTCCTCCCCAACTCACCAAACTTCTATCTACTGTATGAACGTAGTATGTTACAGGGTTACTGGTCCACGATACTGATCCACTTAAGGGGGATAACTCAGTTACATGCACTATAGAGCCTATATCTGGAAAATACACTGGTTGGGTCAACAAAAACCTGGTACATGATGGTGAGTTGTGAGCAAGACCAAAATATCACCAAGAATTATGGGTAAGTGCTCAATTCAAAATCAAGTGCAAAAAATATTATATTATAAATAGGGCCATCATGTGATCATAAAACATGTGACAACCAATGATATGAATGTTAAAACAGTCCAACGATAGTCTAAATAACACTGAAATGAGGTTTTATGGTCTACTTAAATGCACCGACTTTTTAAACTAGCTTAAATATGAATGTATTATTATAGACTGCTATCATTGAACTGCCTTTAATAGATGAAGATGGAAGGAAAATGATAATGATATATCAATACAATTAATCAATGAATCACTATGCAACAAGCTGTCTGGTGGTGTGGAAAAAGAGAGATATGTATTAAATAGATGATCAAAAAAAAAAAAAAAATCCATATTTAGTTGAAATAAAGAGAGAATAACGAAATTAACAACATAGCCATGAGGTAAATTCAATCAATACCATCGTAATAATAATACAGGCAATCTTTTGATCACACATTCCTGACTGTCTGCTACAACTACCGTAATCAATATAATAAAATCCCATATTGCCCCATTAATTTCTTTCCTTTTGGTTTTACATAGTAAGGCCCCGTCTCCCCCAGGTTTACACACATAATATAATTACACCCATCAATAACATCCCCAAAGTAAGATGTATATATGCATAATAAATCTACCATTGAATGCTTAGTTAGAATCTGTCGAGAATAAGCCCTCCATATTTGGATACTTTTTTTAATTGCCTGATCGATTATTACAATGCTTACAGTATTTAAAGGTGAATGAACTCTGAATTTTTGATTTTCTAACATATTATTGGCAAACAGCTTTGTTAAATGTGAGCGCATAAAAACTAAAACTCTACATGCAAAGCCATGTGTACGCAGGGGGGCCGCTGTTTTTGTCCCACCCAAACAACTAGGCCAGCCTAAAACAAAACTCTTGCTGATACATAGTAATAATAATGATCAGGCAATATTATACTTGTCCGGAGAAGTGGGTCAGATTAAAATAAAACTCTAATCGATACATAGTAAATTTTGTAACTTACCACTGAGGTTTCTGTCTGTGATTCTAAAGTTTAAAGGGCAGTAAGCCTTAGATGAAACTATTTTAGCACCTTCTTTCATGTTAGAAAAACGTAGTTTTAACTGAAATGAAATGGGGTTTAATGTCATGTTTTATAACAAGTCATTATTTCAATTAGAATACATTCAAATACATGTATATGATCAACTAATGGTCAATATTAAGTCATTATTCCATTTCGAATACATGTGTATAATAAATAACTGGTCAATATCAAGTAATTATTTTATTTAGAATTCATTCAAATACATGTGTATGATAAACATTATTCTGTTTAGAATTCATTCAAATACACATGTATGATAAATCTCTGGTTTATACTGACAAGTCATTATTCCGTTTAGTATTCATTCAAATAAATATTCTATGGGATAGTAAGATTACATTAGAGCCTAATGATCAGGCCATACAAAAAAAAAAGCTCTGGTTCTGATGTGGGAGGGAGGTTTCTATTTGGGCGTTTTTATTTTTTCAAAGGATCACTACTAACATTTATCAGGCTAGCATGCTTGATAAATGAGTCTATGTTGTTTATAGGAATGTATGATTAACCAGTACCTTTTATGATTGCCAGGAACATTTATTAAGGTTGCATACTTGAGAAATGAGTCTATGTTTATAGGAATGCATGATTAACCAGTATCCTTTATGACTGCCAGTAATATTTATCAAGGTTACATACTTGAGAACTGAGTCTATGCCACATTTCTGGATTCATTCAAGTTTTTCTATAGATATACTTCCTGTAAACAGTTACGTATATATGGTAATTAATGAGACTCTTTTTATTAGACCTATTTAATTAATATAGAAAGTGTAATGCTGATATTGTTAAATTACATACCTGGTGATCAACTTGAGGTCCAAAAGCAAAGTTGTTAACAAATATCACACTGCAATAATAGGAATTCAGTTTTAAATATTATTTAATCCTTTTTCCATGTTCACAAAATTCAACAAAAGTATTACAAATATTAATAGAAGAAGTCTTGCATTTATGACATCAAATGGAGTGGAATGTCTTATTTTTCCTGACCAAATGGTCTAATTAAGTCATATGATATGTAGTGTGCTACATGTATGATGGAAATCTTGTCCAGACATCAACATTACAACCTACATTTCTTCAAAATCCAAATGCAAAGGGCTCTTGACTATGCAACAGTAGCTCCCTGCATTTGGGTACAAAAGGGGGGAACGAGGGTTTGAGAACCCTAGAGGAAACCCTCTAGACCATTCAAACCAATTCGATTGACAGGGGTTTATCATAATTAATCAACTGTATAGCAAAATACTTACGTAGCATTATTGACTTTCTCTTTCATTTCATCACACAGAAAATCTCCTTTCTCTATCTAAAACCATAAATAATTAAAGTGTAAAAAATAAATTATGAATGAAGGAATGAAATGTGGTTTAATGTCATGCTGTTCTGCACAAACCGAATTAATAAAGTGTGCAGTAAGGGACGTCTTGTCTGGATAGCAGTGTTACCACTTACACTCATAAAATTACAACTGGTTAATGAGCTATATCCCTACTCACTGAGCCACTGTAGCTGGGAAATTGATTTATATACATATGCCAATAAAATACCATGTTTGGCTATGATATCAATATTACCATGTAATTAATTAACCCTATCATTACTAACTGTAGACAATGTAGTAGTGGGTTGTTGGATTATGTATTACGTTCGTTCGTTTCTGGGGTTTTACGTCCACTTCCACCTAAGATTATGTATTAGTGGGCTGTGGGTTTATATAGTAATGGGTCGTGGGATTATGTAGTAGTGGGTCGTGGGTTTATATAGTAAATATCGTACCTTATAATCTCCATGTTTTTTCCCGTACCATTTCATCCATTTTCTAAACTCTCTGTCCATTACCTACAAAATCAATCAGTTAATTAGGCCAAGTTTTCTACATTTCAACAGGGACTACCCAAGGTTTTTGCATTTCAATAGGGAACTCCAGTGTCAGATAGTTACACTCTGTGGGGCTGAGTACGAAAAAGTCCTCTGACCAAAACAGATTCTTTAGGCACCACAACAAGTTTCTTATCTACCAATCTTATTAAAGAATATATTGACAGTACCTTATTTACCGATCTTATTAAAGAATATATTGACAGTACCGTATTTAACAATCTTATTAAAGAATATATTGACAGTACCGTATTTACCAATCTTATTAAAGAATATATTGACAGTACCTTAGCATAGTCAGCTGGATAATCAGCTTTCTCCATTCCGTAACAATATTTACAATTAGTTGAAGCTGCTACCTGTATTACAACCTGACCAACACCTAAAGTAAAAAAAAAAAAAATCTTCATACATGTAGTTGATCATAATCTAAAACACTAAGGGACCACCTGAAAATTTCATCACTTGCATACAAATGATTAACCCGAGGTTAGATCTCGACCCATCCACCCAGAATAAGAAAATGTTGGCACAGACACATTTTGATGACTGAATAACAGACATTTAATTTATTATTTTCTATCCGAGGTGTCGTTCTATCAAGGTCTGCGGGTTATTCGTTTCTAAAGACCCTGTCAAACGAACTTTAAAATTATTCTTGGCCTGAAATATATCATGAAATCAAATCTTCAACTGGATTCTTTTTACCATTTGGATCTTTGCATCACTTAAAGTGTGGAAAAAAAAGAGACCAATTTCTACAGTAATTTGAACGTTCTCAACTTGTAACCACCAAAAGCTTTACTGCAAGGTACAAATCATAACATCACCTTGCCATAATAAAGACATTGATGAGCTAACTATAAATGCAAGGTTTATTTTGCATCAATAAATAATTGTGAACTCACAAAATGTGAAATGAGTTGGCGGTTGCAAGTATATGAACAAAAATATCGAAATAGGCTACAATACATTACGTATATGTATAAGTAAGTTCAATACTTACAGATTTTTTTTGTGCATATATATGGAATAAATGGTCCACAACAGACCTCTGTAAAAAGGGAACAGAGTATTTATCCAGAATCTAATAATCTCTTAAAATCATGTGATTGGATATAAACTTAATGGCAAGCACAATCACTGTACATCGATCAGTCACGTTTTGCTAATGAGATACTTACCACTGCCAAGATCGATAAAATAATCGGTTCCACTGAAGTTGATGTAATTAATCATCTGTTCGACTAGCTCAAATGATGTCTCTCCATATACCTACAAACAAAACATACAACATAATAATAATGAGTTCTTATAATGCGCACAGATCCATCAAAATTAATGCCCAATGTGTATTTAACTCTCCGCTTATCATTAGACAAATACACAATGTTAATAAGCAGTCAAACAGCTAAAGATATTGTGACTTCTTTATGGTCATGGGTAATGAATTCCATATAATCAATCAACTGATTGTAGTTTTTGTATGGTATTCAGTAATTGAACAGTAACACACTAAAACTATGCAATAACAATTACTGGTTTATAAACATGAAAATGCAGGTAAAATTTCCTATTCCATACTATATAAGTTTTAGTGTGTAACGATTGGGCTCTCATATCAGTCGGTCATGTGTCAGTCTTACTTGTCAATAATATTACATGCCATAAAATTAGATATTCCAAACAAATTAATCGTAAAAAAATAAAATTATAAAGTGAAATAGCACATTTTTATCTATCAACTATTGTCAACTATTCTCACTTGGTTAGAGTCCATTCTCTAACCATAGATAGGTCTACACTGACCAAATGAAAGTTGATTGCTCATTGTTAATACAATATGGCTAATCTGAATGGCAGGGAACTCAAGTTATGAAGTCTATCCATGCACATGTTCCCTGATCAAAAATAAAAGGAATCTTATCTGTTATTTTCAAGGTATAAAACAGAATCAAATAAAGCTATGTTGAAAGACCTAATTCTCGTCTTCAAAAATAATCAATCTCTTTGATGTGTAATGTTTTACAGAGATTTCATGTTCAATTCTTTCTGTAAAGTTTGCAGGGCAGACAGTCAAATCAAATTATTACAATGTTATAAAATTAAATGGTGAAAGACAAAAGGAAATGATAACAATTTTCTTTTGATGTTTGAAATTTGTCTAAGTGTTGGATGTCTATTGAACATCTCTAGTGATTTAATCCCTGTTTTTGTTCTTGATCAGTTTCCAATGGCTTTAAATTAAACCAGCCAAAGACATTTTAATCAATTTTATTGTTTTAAATTATTGATACACCAGGAATTTGATATTCTCAAAAGAGAGAGAGAGAGAGAGAGAGAGAGAGAGAGAGAGAGTAATGGAGTTTGAAATGAAATGTGAGTTTAATGGCATGTCAGCTCCAACTGGGCCATATGGCACCAATCACATGGTGATAGAAATGGGGTTTAACATCCACTCATAACAAACAATGTCATATTGGGACTAACACATGGTACAATTTCATTTCAATAATTTATCTGCCCGTAATAAGCAGGGGTAAGGAAATCTGGGCCTGGAGAAAACACACAATAAAATAAGATATTTATATAACTACCGGATGACCCAGGCACTGCAAGGGTTAAAAGTAGTAGAAATCTGAAACCAGAAGTGGTTGGCCAACCCCACCTAGCCTATGTAACTCCCTGGTCCCAGCTACCCCCTATACATCAAATTTCTGACTTGGGACAGCCGTAGTGTAGCCGCCATCTATTAGTATAGATACTGCTTGTTTTTCTTAGATACTACTTGATTTCTTAGATCCGTTTACAGTAGGAATCCTTGTGAATGAGTAAACCCTTAGTACAGAATTACCTGTTATTTTCAGGTACAAATAAAAGGTAACTTGTGCTTGTAAATATAGAAAAAAAACTTTTTTTTACCTCTGGAGAAAAAGGTTCATACTGATTTAACTTGTCAGGATCTTTGACAGCTTTATTATAACATTGTTGAATGATGTGTTTTAAGTGATCCCGGGATGGTTTGGCATTGGGTTGGTTTGGTCGAGTGCTGCCTTTCCACTGAAACAAAAATATATCAATTTAAAATAATACAATAGATTTGAATTATAGTCAAATGTTTCAGTAATCCTAGAAATAAAAATTAGCAGGTATTTGTCTTGATGTAATATTAAACCCCATTTCAGGGAACTGCGGTGACTCAGTGAGGAAGACGATGGATCACCCCCAGTGATGGCCGTGCAAGTTCCTCAGGATTTTCCGACCTGACAAGAAATAGTGTCTAGTCGTTCGGATGGAACGTATAAAATGAGGTCCTGTGTACACATCGACAGTTTGAATTTGAAATAAGAATAGGCCATAGTGTCCCTCAGAGCACACTGTATGGCGTGTGCTCATCTTCAATAGCACAGACAGTGTAGGAAAGAATGACATCAAACCCTATTTCATTTCAAATCCCATTTCATTCCATTTCCAACCCCATTTCATTCCATTTCCAACCCAATTTCATTTCAAATTAAATTTCATTTCAAATCAAATTTCATTTCAAATCAAATTTAATTTAATTTCATTTCATTTCAAATTAAATTTCATATCATTTCAAATTAAATTTCATTTCATATCATTTCAAATTAAATTTCATTTCATTTCAAATTAAATTTCATTTCATTTCATTTCAAATTAAATTTCATTTCATTTCAAATTAAATTTCATTTCATTTCAAATTAAATTTCATTTCATTTCAAATCAAATTTCATTTCATTTCAAATTAAATTTCATTTCATTTCAAATTAAATTTCATTTCATTTCAAATTAAATTTCATTTCATTTCAAATTAAATTTCATGTCATTTTAAAAGTACAAGGATGTAACTAAATACCTTTATCAAAATAATTACACGAGACCATACAAATCTAAATCAAAATGTAATTTGTCTCCATTTTCAAATTATAATTCTCCAAATAAATTGATAATCAAGACATATTGCTTTGTTTTTCATTCCTTATGCCCGAGGCCAAGGTTTGTTTTCATTTTTTGTTTTGATTAACACATGAAGGTTAACAGGACATCATTATGATCGTAGGTCTGATCAAAGTAAATTATATTGTTATAAAAGAATAATATAACGAGAACACATGTTGATTAAAGAGATTTTATATCTGTTTTATGAAATGATGTGGTTTTTAATATCTTACTTTTCTGTACAATCTGTGAGATTATGACTATCAAATATCATGAATATTGATGATTGCGCAAGCCGCACCCTGTCCATGATTTTGTGTGAGAGCCAATCCTGTACAGTTGAAAAAAGTGTATATATGGTCGTGTTGTCAAATTCATTCTAACACCCACCCATACGCCTTTGCTATGAGAGAGAGAAATAGGGTTTAATGTCCACTCGACACAAACTAGGTCATTTTGGGACGAACATATGGTTCAATTTTATTTCAATAATTCACTTGCGCATAGGGGTCTTCAGCAGTGGGAGGAAAAGGAAGGACCTAGTGGAAAATTCATGAGATTGGACAGGCGACCCTACTCCTTGTCAGGTACAACTGGGGAATCAAAATCACGCCAGTTGACTCAATGAAGGACCTTATGATACAGCGAGCAAGTGCTAACCATTTGGCCGTCCAACCCTCACCAACCCACCCAGAATCTGAGTGAGAGTATTTGGGAGAAAAGGAAGTTGATTTGAATACATTTCTCAACATGTGTTGAGTGTTGAAACTGCATTGTGGTGGTTGTGTGTGTGTGTGTGTGCTGTAGACCATTTATAGATCTGTTATCCGTGCTAGTCAGTAGTTCAATAATATTACATTATGTGTGTAGGTAGTAGTAGGGTTATCTGCCAAACATTGTTGGTTTTGTCTCGGTACTTTGATTTCATCAGAGGGGGGTTGGATGGCTGAATGGTTAGCACATGCGCGTTATATCATAAGATCTGTCATTGAGTCAACTTGCATGGTTACGATTATCCAACGTCAAAGGTTTTCTATGTGTACGCCCATTTAATCCTACTGGTAGTCAATTCTGACTAGCTTGTTCCTTTAAATCTTTTTGAAGTTAATTAACTTTCTAAAGTCATTAAATAAATGTAAAACTGTCTTTATTAATAATGATGATATTTCATGATTATCAATTATGAAGCTGGCCTTGTAATGTCATAAAAAATGTTATTTTCATTTCATATTATAATAATTATGCTTTAAATGGCATACTGTTATTATTAATTACTAATTAGCTTACAAATTATGATGCTGACCTTCATTCTATATTATTGTTGTTTTCATCGTGTTGCTGTTATTGTTTTTTTGTTGTGTGGTCTGCGTGTTTGTGATTGTTGTTGTTTTTCAGTTTTTCTTAGGGTTTTTGTTTTTGTGTTGTTTGTTGTTATTGCTTTGTGGTCAGTGTGTTTGTGATAGTGGTTGTTGTTGTGTTGCTGTTGTTTTGTTGTTCTTCTTCTAGCTTTGTGGTCGGTGTATTTGTGTTAGTGGCTGTTATTGTGTTGGGTTTTTTGTTGTTGTTGTTATTTTTGATCAGCATGTTTGTATTCGTAGTTTTGTTAATGAATATTGTTGTGTGGTCGATATGTTTGTTTTTCTGATTTTTTTTTCTTTTATTGTATGTTGTAATTTTGTTCATTTTTTGTTGAACAATAATTTTTACATAATAAGCTCTTGTACCATTTATTAAACTTACCAGTTGAAGTATTCCATCTATAGCTCTATTATATCTATCACATAAATCTACCATACTCTCACGACTGAAAAATAAAAGTAGTAATTATATAGTATTGTTATTCATTTTAAACATACTACAAAATAAAAGTAGTAATTATAAACTTATTATTCATTTTTAACCATACTACAAAATAAAAGTAGTAGTCATATAGTAGTAGCATTCGTTTTTAACCATACTACAAAATAAAAGTAGTAGTCATATAGTAGTATTATTCATTTTTAACCATAATACAAAATGAAAGTAGTACTAGTAGTCATATAGTAGTAGTATTCATTTTAACCATACTACAAAATAAAAGTAGTAGTAGTCATATAGTAGTAGTATTCATTTTAACCATACTACAAAATAAAAGTAGTAGTAGTCATATAGTAGTAGTATTCATTTTAAACATACTACAAAATAAAAGTAGTAAACATATAGTAGTAGTATTAATTTTAAACATACTATAAATTACCGGTAAAAGAAGACAACTGCTTCCATAACCATGTGTATATAGCATTTTTGTGTCATGATTATAATACTCGACATCAATCATTTTGTGACATGTAGAATGCTTCAGGATATTTTATTTATGCGCCAACATTTTCTTTGAACTCCTATTATTTTACGGACTTTATCTTGGTAATGATGTCTGATTTACCATAACACTTTTTTTTAAGTTATTTAAACATCCTACCTTTTTGTATCATATTCATTTATACCCACTGTCTTTTCCATAGCCAACTTCAGCTCTGGAAAGTCTTCGCACACCCATCTACAAACATAATGGAACAATTGTATAATCAACATATTGACTTAAGTAAAAATACTGGGGGTCACAGTGGCTTGATTAGTATGGCAATGTCTCACTAACCCTAGTGTTGATCCGTTGATGCCAGGGTAAAATTTCCCTCATACCCGGTAGTCATACTGTTGTACTCTGCATCTTCATTAGTCCATTCGGAGCAGAACAGTAAGATGTTAAACCCCATTTCATTTTAAGATAAATCTTTCAGACAAAACTTCCCCTCACAATTTCGGATATAATACAGAGAAAATGATACGTTTTAAAGGAAATGAAATGGGGTTTAGCATCCTACTGTTCTGCTCCGACTGGGCTAATGAAGACGAGCATATGCCATACAGTGTGTTATGAGGAAAATTTTGCCCGGACAGCAGCACTACGGCCTACTCCTATATTGAAATCCAACTGCCAAGGGATCTTTCACGTGCACACCAATGTGTACAATGTGTACATCTGAATGACTATACATTGTGCCTTGCAAGGTCCTCTGTCCTGCACAACTGAGAAGGGGGAACCAATGCAGGGTTCGAACACGCAACCTCCATGTTAGCGAGCCACCGTGGCTCCATGTGTGAAAGGAAATGATCAGAAATTAAAGGTAGATTATCTTTAAAAGTAGGGTTGGGGCCACTGTTTGTTGGAGGGAGGTACATGTTTATAGGATGTATAAAATGTATGGTAGGTTATTAAAGTCAATGTACTTGTTTAAACGCAATTAGTTCCATATTCCATCTCTTTGACTGAGTCTTTGACTATTAACATTTCGAGAAATTATGGGGCATGACTTTAGGCTAATGTTAAAGTTTCGCATAACTGCCCTTCTGTAAAATAATGAGTTATCGATAATGGTAAATGTACTAATTAATCAAGACTATGATAACTAAATAACCCTAGGTATTTGAACTCTGGTTAATAAATCTATTTCTGGCCTTACTCAACTAGGCTGTCTGGAGAGTTACTGAACCTGATTGTCAAGAACGCAGAAGATCTAGGTCTTTGACCAGGCCAGTTAAATTTACAGACGCACGCAGAAGATCGAGGTTTACAGACGCACAATGACCTATTTTATTGTCAACGATAATAAATAATAGGCTTATATATACCAATATCAACAGATGGACTTATAATGGAAGAAACTGAGATCAATAAATGTAAATTATCCCATAGTTGTCCGTTATAATATCTTTCCTATATACACGTTTTAATGTTCTATTGAAATGAAAAGGTGCCAATATATTGTAAATTAATGACTATAGCTGTCAGTGGTGTATTACTAAAATCAATGTTCGCTCTGCCCTACTGTACTTTGTTGTTGGCTATAGTAGTCATTGCACTCACTGTCTTATTGATCATTTTCTCAATGTCTGTACTTCCTCAATGGCCTTAATAATACACAGGGTGATATAATCGTGATGGCTACAAGGCAAAGGGATCCATCAGTCTTCCTTTTACAAAAATAATCCATTGTTAAGTGATATAATCTCTGTCTTATGACCCTTTCATGTTAGGTATGCAAAGGTTGTTTAGGGTATTAATATGGTATTAATGAGGTGGCCACATATTACAGTTCATTGATGACCAGCGGGGCAAGAGAATTCAGACCCATTGTTTTATTATCATACATCCATGTTATGTTATACTTAAACATCCTGAAGTTAGTGTGCAATTCAAAATCTTTAAACAGGAACTAGGAAGAAGAAAATGTTCACAGGTTGGTTGGGTCTAGAGGAAATTATTTAATGGGGAGAGTGGACCATCAAAATAGCTTCCTCTAATAACCATGAATTCTGATCAATATCAAGTATCAACAGGAAATTAAGAGGGATCTATTTTAAAGTAGGCCTCCCTCATTACATGAATGAGGCCTTTTGAACACAGGAAAGATCTACAAGAGTAAGAGAGAGAGAGAGAGAGGGTAACGCCCACTTGACACAAACTAGGTCATTTTGGGACTAACATATGGTTCAATTTTATTTCAATGATTCGCTTTAACCTTTACTCAACAGTCAACACAAAGTAGGTCATTTCGAGACTAACCTGGTTGAATTTTATTTCAATAATTTCGCTTGCATGTACATGTAGGGTTGGGCCTTGAGCAATGGGAGAAAACCGGAGGACCTGAAGAAAACCCATGAGGTTAAACAGGAACCGGGGAATCAAAACCACGCCACATGTCACAATTCAACCACTCACCACCCTATCATTTCAAAGTATGATTCACTCGTTACATAAATTCAACTTGAGGGCTTTGGGTCCTTTTGTCTGCATGAAAATAAAAGTTTTTTTTATCATATATAACTTTAAATATCATTGAGAAAAGTTGAGATTACAAAAATAAACATTTAGCAAGTGCAAAATTCTGGAGTTTAATCATTTGACGCCAAATTTCCATAGTATGTAAATATTGTAGATTATAATGTTCATGTAATTTCATATCGGTTGTATTTACAGTAACGAATGTAAACAACACTTGTCGATTACAACACACTCATCTATACAATGTATAAAATTAATTTTGTTTTCTTCATCTTGCGCTATAAGTAACAAATCTGCTTTACACATATTCACAGATTTGGCGAGGCTATGATTCTAATAAATAATATCACTCAATATACGTACTTATCACTCTCTCACATACACACTAGACTCTCACAGATAAAAATGTACGCAAGCAGCTCCTTACTAACAAAAAAATATTTACTTATAATATCACCATGCTATTATATGACATTTAAATTATTGTTAAGTAAACTCTAGCAACTAAACTTTACAGACCTCCTCTCTTTTTCTTCAAGAGTACTTTACAAGATTTTCTAGACCTGTTGTTGTTGAGAGTGGATTTAACGTCCACTCGACACAAACTAGGTCACTTCGGGACTAACACATGGTTGAATTTTATTTCAATAATTTGCTTGCGAGTAGGGGTCTTTAGCAGTGGGAGGAAACCGGAGGACCCGGAGAAAACCCATGAGGTTGGAGAGTACGAGAAAGAAAGAAATGGTGTGTACGAATTAAGGTCCACACAACCCAACCAGGTCATTTCAGGCCTAACACATATAGTATAACAATTCTATTTCCATAATCCGCTTGCGTGCAGGTGAAGAAAACTAGAAGATCCAGAGAAAACATATGAGATTGGGCTGATGACTAGACTCCTGGTCACGTACAAGCTTGGTAGTTTGTTTTCTTTTACGACAGCCATAAATAAACAAAAAGCATGTAACATTTGTGCACCTTTACATGCCATGATTAACAGAAAATGTATGTTGATTTATTACAGCTTTCCGCTCTAATTCTGTGACTATTCTCCATGACCAAGTATGTCTAGGTTACTGTTCGTCAAACTATTATGATGCAAATGTGTATCCCTTTTACATCATTTTCCTCACAGTATTGGGAAACTGTTTAGTTTAATAATTTATTATTCGGATAGTTATACAGTATACACTCTTCATTATCATTTAATATATGTCTTTAGTCTAGCCTATGATAATGAAGCCATTTGTTTTTTTGTTTATATTAATATTATATTAAGTACCCAGGTACCAGAGAGATGGAGAGCAATTGAATTCCAACTATCAAGACTTCTTTTACATACATGCCGATCCAAATGACTAGACACTGTTGCTTGCCAGGACCTACATACCAGAAATTCTCAAAGAACTTTCTCGGCTAACACCAGAATCTAACCCAAGCCAGAGCCTTACTAATGGATCCACCTGAGAGAGCAAGAGATAGAGAGAGAGAGAGAGAGAGAGGGAGAGGGGGGTTTAATGTCCCCTCGACACAAATTAGCTCATTTCAGGACTAACTTTTGGATCAATTTTATTTCAATAATTCACTTGTGCATAGGGGTCTTTAGCAGTGGAAGGAAACCGGAGGACTCAGATAAAACCCATGAGGTTGGACAGACGACCCTACTCCTTGTCACGTACAGCCGAGGAATCAAAACCACGCAAGTTGACTCAATTACAGACCTTATGATACAACGTGCCAACGCTAACCATTCAGCCATCCAACTCCCCTGGCTACACTTGTATTAAAGACCCAAAATGGCATGTTATTTGAACATTTAAGTATTACATGTACATGTAAGCCTTCATTTATAGGCCTAAATAGAACATATTATTATATCAATGACTACAAGTTCATTCTTGTCCGTTATAAAATATATGTCTTCATTACAAGATAGTTTATATTTACATGTAGTCTGTACTGCATTTGATGTATAACGTACATGTATGTACACTGTACATGCAATGTGCACCCTTGGAAAGCAAAAAGTGTCTAAATAACGAGATTATTACAAAAGCATTTTAACAACCACATTATCCACATTTCTGAAGCCACAATTATTTTCTGAACAAATGAAAATAACCATGATTTGATATCTGAACAACTACAGAAAATGCACTTAGAGGAGCAGGTCATTTATAGTATCAAATATGGTGGCGGTACGTATGTACGATTAGTGCTAAATGATAAGGCCAACTCAATTTTTTGTCATAGGTCACGAGATGTAAACTGGGCTAGTGCTAATCCCAACCCTAACCCCAATGCTTACCCTAACCTACAATCTCACCAACAATCATGTGCCTTAACCTTATTTACATGTACATTTTGGCGACCTTGACAAAAAATTGAGCTGGCCTTAACAAATAGATTTAGCCATTTATGTATATGTGTACAAAGCACATAGCCATAGTATTAATAACAGGATGTGTTTATTGTACTGTAACAAAATAAATACATTGTTTCAGAAAGGAAATAAAAATCTTAGTGTCAAGAGTATTCAATTAGCCAAACAACATTGTTATCATTTTAAGGAAACAAATAATTTTTTAAAATGTTGAGATTGGCTTCAGATAGTAATAAAAAAGAACCAAATACCCTGGGTCTGAGAAACCCATGACGTTCGCCAGACAACCCCACTCCTTTTGTCATACCAGTAGGTACATGTCTGAAATTTGTATGGTGTATGCCTGTCTACATTAAAGCAGTCGGAGCAGAACTGGGTGTTAAATGGATGTTAAACCCATTTCATTTTACAAGTCTGAAATCATTCCCATGACTGCGTAGATAACAGACCAAATGACTAGTCCAATAAAAACAAAATATTTCTCATAAAGAAGCCTAAATTTTTTCACGAATATTACTAATTTATGTGGAATTCAATTTATGTTTCATCTGGCATAACTATTTAAGATCCATAAAATATCTTCAATATATCAATAAATTCATTCATTTGATAATAGCCATGTTTATTTCTGGTGACGTACATGTACGTGGTACCCCCTACATACATAAACACATGTTTTACTGTGTACACATTGTATTTGAATCATACAGGATTACTACAATGTGACATTCACTCACATACAAACTACTTTATCTCATCATGAATGGCGCAATGTAAAAATAGCTCACATGAGCATACATTGTTGGTCAACGTCATGTTCAAGATATATGAATAATTACTGATAATAACTGATAACTAAACTGCCTTGTGTATTTCCATTTGTTGTGGATACATGTACAGTACAGTCATTTCTGATTAATTTTAAATGGAAATTAAGTGAAGGCAAAATGATAATCTCTCAGGATCCTCAGTCACATCAATTTTGATTAGTCTCCCTTTCTAATTAAATTTTTAAATTAAAAAACTGAAACGAATTACTAGTCACAACTGAAATAGGATTTCTTGATTATCTTAATACGTACATGTATCTTACTACCAAGTCTGGACATAAGACACCTGTCACAGACTTTGTCAAGTACAAAATATCAAACAATGTACATTTACTACTTTCCCCTCCCCCAAAATAGTCATGGCGTCATGGAAGTCAAAGGTCTAGAAAGTTCTTAAAAGTTAATTCTAATAGCACTCGTAATTATCTGCTACATAGAAACAGGAAGACTATCTTATATCTATTTTAATCATTTCACAAATATTACAACTACATGTAATTACAAAATAAATGACTGTAAATTTTACGCTGTGCTATGTAATGTATCCTCATGCTGTCATTTTTCAAATAAATGAAAAATATAATTAAATGTATAATTATACCACATGTTTTGCATGTCTGTATGATGATATATCTATTCAAGTATGTTTAATATTGTTTATCCACAGATGGATGATTTCTGTGTAATATTTTATTGCGAATCTGTATGCCACATCTGCCTTTCAATTTCTATTAATTTACATGTAAGCTTATATCATTGGACAGCCAGCAGACGTACACTTTTTCTTTGTTCACATCAAAAGGCATTCAACAAAATAGCTTTAGAATGGTCTATAGAATTAAAATGATGTAAAGTAGAGTAGGCTGGTTCAATAGATTCAGGAACGTGGTTTCTAGTGCTAACCAGTGGGTGAGATAAGAATGACATCTTTCGTCATAACTCTAGTGAATATTTTAGCCTACATTAATAAGCTTAACCTACTAATAAAAAAAATGGTTTTTGTGGTTGGAAAGGGGGTAATATTCTGGTGTAAATGTCAAGTCTCAAGATATCTAATAATCTTGGCATACATTATAATAAATAATAATAGCAGTAATAAGGCCCATCATCTTACTAAATTATTTTGAAAACTATTTGACATTCACATTGTGATTGTGTTTGGCAGTGGCTACTTTTTAGCCATTCTTGTTTGTAGCAACAAGGTGTCTTAATAAGGCAAGAGATTTATAACCCTACACAATTTGGTCAAGTGGTAAGGTCAAGTTATGAACAGAGGAATCATCATAAAGGAGTAAATATGCACTGCGTTGGGTTGGGGAGAGTTACTAGAATGGCAATTCTGCACGGCATGTAGTAATCCCGATCGGGTAACGGAGGACACAGACAGGTCAATCAATGAATTGGCGAATCAGAAGACTGCGAGTAGTCTCGCTGGGATCTGAATCAATCTTTTTAGTCAGATAAAAATAGACATAATTTTGCTTACCTTATTGTGTCAACGATTTCACAAGCACCATCCCTTCCTTCCTAAAACAAAGGGGAAAAAATAAAATATCACTAACACATTCAAAAATATTAAATTTCACGTTAAAAATTCCACAAATGTTATTTTATTTTTACTATTTTCACTGCTATGCTAGCAAACCAGAAAGTAAATTCGGACCATGCCATTTTAGGAACACGCCTTACCGTATCAGCAATAGGCCAATTGTACACAGCTGGTTCCGCCCCGGCTGGACTGTGTAACTTCAATTCCATTGCCATCATTGATTCCCCCGACCCTTAGACGCCATTCGGTGGTCAAATTTTCAGGAAAATACCCTAAATTTGACCATAACAACCCTTTCACCCTGTGACCTACATACAGCGTCGGTCCCTGCCTTTCAGCCACGTGACCTCTGTTGATAAACTGATTGGTTGCCTCGTTTTTAGTGCCACCTTTCCTCGAAAATGGCGGCGAACTTCGAAACTACTTTCACGTTCGTCTTTTTCTGAGAATTATATTTTTATATATTAATTATGGTTTCGATGTTATCAAGTCTATTAACAAACGGTTTGTTTATTTAAGGTTCCCGTCTTGTAAAAAATAAACACTATGGTGAGTTGGATGAGAATTCGTAGTGGTAAAATGATTTGACGGAATCCGCTTTTCAGTCTGTGAACTTTGATTTATAAAATAAAAGTAGAGCTAGACACAATTGAACCGATCGATAATATTTTCTTCACTACTAGAACTAGTCTATATATTTTTTAATCAGAGTTATTGTATTTTCACACAAGTTTTATGTACTGCTTTATACTTTAATTTGTTCGATCGTATGTCCTCGCGATGATATTTCACAACTGATCTGACTTAACACAACTCGGAAGACCCTTTATATTACGCAAATAGCTGTTATTTTTTTCTTAGCCTCCCACGTATGCTTATTGCGTCACCACAGACTCGAACGACATTGGGTGAGCCACACGCGCTGTGACAGTGAAATGATACGGTAGATACTATAGCAGTAGTAAATATATTACTTACATACGGTAGTAGGCCTATAGATAAATGAATATTGAACTAGTAGCGTAGGTTGTATCAAATTTCTTTTTGAATTTATTTGTTACGATATATATCGATCTTTCTAGTATTATCTTCATTGACACAATTCATTCAATGACTTAGTTTTTTCTTGGAACTAAATTGTGCCGAAATCGAAGTTACGTTATGGTGAAATATAACCGAAAATGATTTTGTATAAACAAAATTCCACAGAAATATTCCACAGAAATATTATGAAATACTTGGACGGTTAGACTAGTTAGAGTGAGCTAATTCAATAGAAATGTTTGAAGGAGTGGTACCCTGGTTGAGTTGTAACTGGTGATAATAATTGTCACTAACTTGTTGTCCGTAATCAGTTTAGATATAGACGTCATGGACTGTATGTTTTGAGGTCCATAGTGTAATCAATTGAGACTTGTACCCCAGTTTCAAAAGGCGCCTCATAATCAACTGTAATAAGCTGATGTTTAAATTGTATTGTTTTGTTGTTATATTTGATTTCATGATTGAAGATATACTACTTAACAACATATTTTGTTGATTAGCTTAGCACAACACAACATTTAATTTATGAAGTCAGTCGTGGTAAAACAACTTTTCATCCCATCCTAACGACTATAAACTGTCCCATAACACACACGCCGCAAATTACTGATAGACAGTCTTGTTTTTTGGTTTTTTAAAATTTGAATTATTACTTGAAATTTAAAGGAAGCTCTGCGGCCGACTTCCTTCCTCTTATTTATCTATTTATATGGTGTGGGAGGATACAATTCTAATTTTAGACAGGAGATTTTTTTATGGTTGTAATGATGAGAAATTGAAGAAATAAATTAATCATTTTAATGGAGAAGAAGAAACGCTTTATCATATAGAGGCTCAGGGTTTTACCAGATAAACTTACATTTAAAAACACCATGATACACGACATAATAATATTTCCTTGATGTATATATCTAAATTTCAAACTCGGTTTATTTCAGAAGAGTAAGACCACTTATAATTAATTTGTCTGTAAATTTGGTGGATTTTGTATCTTTTGCAAACTAAAATATTGTGAAAGTTTAATCTTTAATAAGAATATGGGTCAAAAAATGGTTCCATTCTGTTCACTATTTACCAAAATAGGATTATGAACTGAAAATTTGTCAATATCGGACATCCACTACAGACTATAACATTGTATAGGGTATTGTAAAACCAGGCCAGCGCCACCTATCATGCATCATGTATTTGCTGAAAATGTTTGATGGGCCTTTTTTAAATCCTATTGAATCAAAATCAGGAAATTATTTAATGTTGATATTCTTATTTTCGTTTTGTTAATTAAATGGGGGGGGGGGGACGTATGGTTAGCGCGTGCACGCTGTATCATAATGTCTGGTTTAAATTCCCCGGTTGTATGTGACAAGGAGTAGGGTCGCCTGTCCATCCTTGTGGGTTCTCTCCTGGTCCCACTGCTAAAAAAGACCCTTACGCACACGCAAATTATTGAAATAAAAAATTGAACTGTATGTTAGTCCCGAAATTACCTAGTTTGTGTCGCGTGGTAACCCCTCTCTCTCTCTCTCTCTCTCTCTCTCTCTCTCTCTCGGTTTTTGTCCCATCCAAATGACTGACAAGGGGAAACCATGCTGGGAAATCTGGATGAACTTTCTTGGCCAATGCAGGGATCGAACACCGGACCTCCCGACTAGAGAACCGGCGTCTTACCCACTTAGCCACCGTGATTCCACAGAATCACTGGACTAAAGGATCCTTGTCGAAATTTTCTTTAGTAATAATAATAAACAAAATTATGTTCTGTGCAGGCGTTGAAATAATTAATTTAGAAGTACCGGATAATTTTAATTTTGTGTTGGACAAAAATCAGAAAATTGACAAATCTGCACCTGACAAATGACAGGCATCAGAGGATATTAGCGCCTGACTAATCTTAAATTTGTGCCTGACATTGTCTGTGACAGGTGCCTTAAAATCATGGTTCTGTGTAATTTCAAAGTAGAGTGTTAAATATGAATTCAGATACTGTATATCGGTAAATACACTGAGGGTTATATAAGATATTATTTTTCTATTTTAATTCATTCATCTGTATAAAAACAACAAATTTTAAAATAGTGTAATAAATAGATAGATTAAAGAGTTCTAAATTAATACACCACCTACATTTGCAGGTACAAAAATAGATTTAAAGTAAATAAAGACGGTGACTGATGCCGACACTAATACGTCACTTTAAGATCCTTTTACACACTAAAAAGCTTCATTTAGACTAAGAACAGACACTAAGAGCTTCAGTTATATTTTAATCTGTTATAATTTGCGCAAGTAGAAGGTTTTCTTGATCCCAAGCAGGAAAGTGTTAGAGAAACATTGTGTAATTACATTGTATTGTCAGGTCATGTTTTATAATACACAGTGTTTCATTATACCCAGTTCTATTATTTATTTATGATATATTCCGTAATAACTCACAGTAAATACACATATAACCCATGCTTTATAATACACAATGTTTAAATATACACCCTTCTATTGTATATTCATGTTATATTCTGTAAAAACTCACAGTAAATACACATAACCCATGTATTATAATACACAATATTTCAATATACACAGTTCTATTGTATATTCATGGTATATTCAGTGTAACCCACAAAATGAGGCCCATCAAAAGAGTGTACCGGTACTCAACATTTATCGGGTAAGTCGCTGGCTCGCTAGTTTTGAGGTCGCATGTTCGATCCCTGCATTGGCCGAGTTAGTTCATCAGGATTTTCCGACGTGGTTTCCCTGGTGCAGGACGAGGGCCTGACAAGGACAGCTGTCTAGTTGTTTGGATGGGATGAAAAAGTGGGGTCCCGTGTGCACTAGACAGCTGTCTCCTGCATCACTGACAGGGGGAAACTACGCCAGAAAATCCGAATGAACTCTCTCGGCCTATGCAGGGATCGAACACCCGACCTCCAGGCTAGCGAGCCAGCGTCTTACCCACTTAGCCACGTGATCCCCCTGCAGAGGATGCATAATTTTTCATTCATCATATCTTTGTAAATAAAGAACAGAATTAAACCATTCATGGACTCATATTCTTTTAGTGATTCAACTTTCTCAGTATTTGCATATGATTTTAAATCTCTCAAATGATGATAATCAACTTTAAAATACAATTGAAAATGCTACTGTCGGTATATTTCCGATAGTTTAATGACTACTGTTTGCATGCAAGTTGCGAATGTGAGGTCAAATGAGCTCCCTATTAAAGCTAATGTCTTTGTAATAAAACTAACTGCACAAGATGTATTTTAAGTAACGATTCATCATTTGCTAAAATATCAAATTTCGGATGCATTAATCCATGCTAATTTGTCTTCATGTTGATTATTTAACATTTTATTAAAGATACATTATGAAAGATTAAAGAGCTGGCAGTTCTCACTATAATATTTGAACACTAGATAATGTAAAGGGAATTTGCTGAGAATTTCAGTCAAATTGCTCAACTCTGAACTGAGATATTAGCTTTTAAATTTTAGGCATAGCCTTGATCATCATTACTAAAGTCGGTATGATAAAAAACATAGTCTCGATTATCCATTTTTGGATTAAATCATCAATGAACGTTGAGCAGCAAATCGGATTCAAATCTAGTGAAAATCCGACACACATAAGATGACATCGAGAGTTGATTAAGGTCTTTTCATGTTAATAAATGTCTAATTAATAGTTTATATAACATTTCAGGCCTAAAGAAAGACCTGCAATAGGCAGATTTAGCTCTTGCATAATGTATGTTTAAGAAAACAGACTAAAAATACCAATGATACATAACCTCCCGACTTGGTTTCAATTGTAGGCCTATTTAAAAACGCCCCATCAATAATTATTTACAGACAACAAAATGGCGAGCATCTTATAACATAGCAAGCATCATAGATCAATGAAATTTCAATTCATGATATATTGTTGTAACGAAATTAAACCATTTTTGGATTGATATCCCTATTAGACACACTAACACTATTTATGGAATAACAATTACCGGTTTATTAACATGCAATGTTTCGACGATGATACTCTCGTCTTATCAAGCAAATGATAAGACGAGAGTATCCTATCCTGTATCATCATCGAAAGGTTGCATGTTAATAAACCAGTAATTGTTATTCCATAAATAGTGTGTTACTGTTCAACTACTAAATGCCACTTAAAGAGAATCCATATTAGAGATTCATCTCTCACAATATTGTAGTTTGCAAGGGTTTGCTATTGCGCTAAAATGATGTAATGAGACTTGACGTTTTTTTTTTTTTTATCCCTTTCTATAGAGAAGAAGTCAAGCACCAAGTCGAAGATCTTTCCCTGTATTAAAGAGAAAACCAGATTCAGATGAAGATGATGATTACATACCATCACCAAATATCAAGGTTTGTCAGGCACTGAGTTCACAAAGCATTCTCAGAATTAAGTTAAGAATTTACTCACCTTCCAACCGCTGTTTTTATTAGAAATACCTTTGATTCAGAAACACAAAACTTTGCACAATTTTCTTTTTGATGTAATTGATACATTAAAAAACAACAAAAGTTTTATAAATTGATATATTATAGTTGAAATAACGCAAACAAATTTGAGTAACGTCTTAACTTAAGGCTAAGAATGCTTTGTGAACTTGGGGTCTGATGGGAAATGTTTTCTTTTCTTTTCATCGTAAGGGAAAATTCATTTGAATTTCAAAATTTTTCAATGGCATATCTCAAAGTTATCTCCTTATTTATGGTTCATAAGGAAAAACAATTAAATTTCTAATTTTTCAGGTCAGAAGTTTCAATCATGTTTTGCTGATTTTATTTCCATTCATATTTTAACTTTTAAAGATTGCGAATTTGTCGATTGGTAAATTTAATTTAGGTTTGTCTTTTCAGTTTGAATTTATAATAATAACCCTATTGGTGTTTGAAAAATAAATTATTATTTCACTGTAACAATTCAATTGTATCAAAGGTTACCTATATGTATAAACAGGTGTGTGACAACAGTATTTCCTAATAACTCACCTGTATATTCATGGTATATTCCCTAATAACTCATCTGTATATTCATGATATAGTCCCTAATAACTCATAGTGAATATACACATGGTTTATAATCCACAATATACATATCCAAACCAAGCCTCATAATACACAATGTTTCAACATATTCAGTTCTATTGTATATTCATGGTATATTCTGTAATAACTCACAGTAAATACACATATAATCCATGCTTTATAATACACAATGTTTTAATATACACATACTTCTGTTTTAAATTCCCTAATAACTCACCCTGAATACACATATAACCCATACTTTATAATTTAATACACAATGTTTTAATAACCCATGCATTATAGAATCATATAAAGCCTGGTCTACATTAAATGTGTATTTTTCTTTCTCATCTCATCCCTGAGCCTAGGTCGGACAGGCAGCTGGCCCTAGGGCCCGGCTGACAGTCAAACCTAAATTTACCTACCACATCTAAGATCATAGCATTAAGGCAAAGTGGACAAGACTGCGCACGCTCGCTATTTTTTCTTTTCTTACACCCGGAGGCTCTCCTTTCGATGAAATATACCTTGGGCGCTTCCCTGCAAAGACATTGTGTCTTATCGAAATAAACTGGATCAAGCCTATTTTGTGGCTTCCTCTGGCAAGTTTCTTAGGAAACACTTGTCTACGATATCACCCTTAGTCGTAGTGGACGTGAAGCCCCAGAAACAATATGTGTATTCAGGGTAAGTTATTAGGGAATATATAATAGAACTGTGTGTATACTGGCACTATTCTTGAATAATGCTCATTGTGTATCTCTATTTAACCCCACTCACTTCAAATAAAATATTCTTTTGATAAGATACATTAGCATGTGCGTGCTGTATCATAAAACCTGTCATCCCCGGTTGTACATGACAAGGAGTAGGGTCGCCTGTCCAACCTCGTAGGTTTTCTCCGGGTCCTCCAGTTTCCTCCCACTGCTAAAGACCCCTACGGGCAAGCGAATTATTGAAATAAAATTTAAAAAACATATGTTAATCCCGAAATTACCTAGTTTGTGTCGGGTGGACGTTAAACCCCATTTCTCTCTTTCTCTTTAAGACTTTAAGAGTATCATGTGATATATCATTTATTTCAGGGCAAGAAACATAAAATTGGTTTATTGGTATCACCTAGCCAACAGCATCAGTCCCCCTTCAGAAAACCGTTGACCGATATTTTAAATTATCCAACACTTCCTGATTCCTCTTCTCATGTAAGTAATAATGGAAGATGAGGATAATACCAGAATGTTCTGTTATTATTAATGCACTGAATGCCATGGCACCAAGGGGCATGCTGTAAGAGATGCACACTATTGCTTCTTTGTCTAAATTAACTTAATTACCGGGTATCTGTTATTATTTTCAGATTTTGTTAGTCAATCCTTATAATATTGCCTTTCTTTCTTAAAGATGCATTAAGAGATCAATCTGCTTATTGAAAGTCTTTTCTAGCTTATTGATTATTACTTATGACAAGTCCATCGGATGGTTCAACGTTAAATGGAATATATGATTGTTTTGAAATTTATATTTTGTTTACATTAGTGAGAAGAAATCTTATTTTATTTCAATAATTGCTGTTAAAAGTTATTCGATCTGTATGAAATTAATATGCTTCATTTAAATTAGTGAAACAAAGAAGCCTTGAATTTCAGCAATTTCTGTTAATTACTTCTAGAGTTATGGCTCTTGTTTCACTTTGTTGGACCTTGTGAATGCTTGAATGACAAAAGTTATCATTCGATCAATATGAAATTTATATGCGTCATTTAAATTAGTGACACGAAGAAGCCTATTGAATTTCAACAATTTCTGTTAATTACTTCCTGAGTTAAGGCCCTTGTAAACCCTCAAACGATGAAAATTATAATCTGATCTGTACGAAATTGTCTTGTAAAAGCCCCTATTGGCAACAAAACAATTGATATGGGCATATGTTTCGTTGCCTGGCAACCTATCTTTAAACTATTATAGCAAAAAAGGCCACCTGTTTATCTGATTCTTACATAAGGCATCCTTAATATACACCTACATTTAAATGGTGAATATCTTGATTAAGTGTGATAATGGCTATTTTCTGCTTGGGCTAAACAGATTATAAGAAATTTGATATGTCGATACTTTGGAACATATTAACTTTAATTCTTGATTCTAATTTATAAGAGTGATGAAACCTGGTGTATGGTTTCGTACATCAATACCTGGACTAAGTTCAATAATGAACATTTTTAGCTCACGTTAAGCTGAGTGATAAGCAATTTCTTTGATGCTTTATAAAAAGATAAATACCCAAGTTATTATTAAGTGTCATCTATTTATTTTGGGATTGAGGAGGGGGTGGAGATCATACTCTCTATTAATTCTGTCCCCGCCGTTTCTCGGGTTAGGATTATTTGTTTTCCTTGCTTTTTGTATTATTTCTCTCCCTGTCAGGAATTGATCTCGCGACCCCAGGCGTGGAATTCACACAAAAGTCAGTAGGAAATATATTTAAACTTGAGATAACATTGGACAGAACAATCTAGGCGTCCCCAGATATACAGTCACAAAGGTCAGAAATATCGAGGTTTCCTCAGATATACAAACATTCACAAAGGACAGAACAAACTAGGTGTCCCCAGGTATACAGTCACACAGTACAGAACAATCTCGGTGTCCTCAGATATACAGTCACAAAGGACTAAACAATCTAAGCGTCCACAGATGTACCGTCACACAGGATAGAACAATCTAGGCGTCCCCAGATATACAAACAGTCACACAGGACACAACAATCTATGTGTTCCCAGATATACAACCACAAAGGATAGAACAATCTATCTGTCCCCAGATATACAACCACAAAGGATAGAACAATCTAGGCGTCCCCAGATGTACCATCACACAGGATAGAACAATCTAGGCGTCCCCAGATATACAAACAGTCACACAGAACAGAACAATCTAGGCGTCCTCAGATATACAAACAGTCACACCTGATCTGATATTTACATCCTGGCTATCTGAACAGGCTAACTGGCTTTGTAATTGACTCAAACTTGTAAATATGTTTTGTAATGCTGTAAACTGGTTTCAATTACTTTACAGGAAGCATTTATTAAGAAGATATTATCGAAACCATTTAAAGTTCCCATACCAAATTATCAAGGTGAGATTGACAAACCAGTTATAAATTAAATTCTTTAGATAAATGAAATGAAATAGGATTTAATGTCCTACTTTTCTGCTCCGACCTGACTAATGAAGACGGGCTTACTACGTGCAGTATGTATAGTAATGACAGTCTTTTACAAAATAAAATATTAATGAGTCGTCTAGTATGTTTTCACATCTTATTTCAGGAAGTAGTCTCAATCGTGCGTTAGGTGTAAGACGACAAGGCGCCAGACAGTCATTACATGATCCATATGAAGAGGGAGCATTAATTTTATACAGTCCTCCAGAATTAAGTGCTCATGATCAGATGAAATTAGAAACGTAAGTAAAACATTAATCTGATATAATGTTAATCTGAGATAAAGATTATCAGTTTTAGCCAATCTGACAATTGTGTCTGTCAGAGTTAAACTAGCGATTAGTCTGAACATAACAAATCCAAATGATATGGTTCACATTTCTTAAACTGGCATTATATTAGAGATAAATCTGCCTATTACTACAGGTCATTCTTTGGGTCTTAAAGATACATTCCCGCGTACAAACTGGGTGATTTGTTGATATATTTGGACTAAAAAAATATTAAAACTAATTTATTTATCATAATTTTGCTTCATATTCTTCTCAAAACATTGTAATTGCCAAGTAATACCCTGCTATAAAAATAGATCAAAAGAGGTCATGTTTGTGTCACGTGACCTACCTCTCTCGGTACCGATAGCAACGGGGGCGAAGTCGGAGGAGAATTCATTGTATACACAAGACGATGTTGTCGTTAATCGCTGACTATTTATTACAAATATCGAATCCTAATTAAATTCTCAGATTATCCACTGCCCGCGTCTTTTTTTGTGATTTTTATCTCAGAAAGTGTTGTATGTCTAGCTCTTCATAAAGTTTATCAACATGTACACCAAGCACTCAATCTTCGCGTGCAACCTTCGATATCACGCGTACAGGTATTCCAAAGCGTCATGCTATTGATTAGGAGAACCCTTACATTTTTATCCTGTATGCACTTCATAAGTGTTTTTCAGGAAAACCAGTGTTTTTCAGGAAAACCAGTATTTTTCTAGTAGAGATATCCAATCTTACTAGAAAAATACTGGATTCCCCAAAAAACACTCATGGAGCGTATACAGGATAAAAATGTAAGGGTCCCCTAATCGACAGCCCTACGATTAGGAATTTCTGCACGTGTGATGTCAAAGGTCACACGCGAACATTGAGCGCTTGATGTACAAGTTGATAAACTTTATGAAGAGCTAGACATACAACACTTTCTGAGATAAAAATCACGGAAAAAGACCCGGGCAGTGGATAATCTGAGAAATTAATTATGATTCAATATTTGTAATAAATAGTCAGCGATTAAAGACAACATCGTTTTATGTATGCAATGAATTCTCCTCTGACTTCCAAGAGAGGTAAGTCACGTGACGTAAACATGACCTGGTTTGACGTAAACATGACCGGGTTTGATTGAATTTTTATAGCAGGGCATTCCTTCGCAATTACAATGTTTGAGAAGGATTTGAAGCAAAATTATGACAAATTAATTAGTTTGAATATGCTTTAAGTCAATATATACCATTAATTCACCCAGTTTGTACGCGGGAATGTATCTTTAAAGACACATTATCGCTTCCAATAAGAACATCCATACTTAAAGTTTAAATTGGTGAGTTATGGTGGTATTTATTATAGACTTGGTTATACGATTCAGTCGTTGTCGTTTGTATTTTAGAGGAGAGACGAAATAAGCTCTCTTAATCTACAAATTGAATAAATTGCTCCCCTAAAGAAAGCTCTCCAGTTTCGATAAGAAGAATGATTTGGAAATTAAGAAGAGTAATCTGATATTAAGGAGAGTGCTTATTTGTATGTATGGGAAATGGTTCTGAAGATCAATAACTGCATGTTATGGGATCATTCCTGGTTTCATAAATGATAGTAAATCCCCAACGACTTTGTAAAGGAGAGTGTGTTTCAATTTTAAGGAGAGGGAGAAAAACCTCCCCTCGGACGACATTCAGATGAGTGGCAGGCTCTCAAGAGCGATCACTTGCCTTAAAATAAACAATGACTGACGATTTATTTATTTTCTTTTTTTATCATTAATAGCGAAAAACAGCCAGTTCATGTAGTGGTTGATCCTATTTTATCTAAAGTCTTGAGACCTCATCAAAGAGAGGTGAGTTCTGTTATTTTTACCTCATTTCAATATAAGAGTAGGACATTGTGCCAGTGCCACTGTCCGGGCGAAATTTCCCTCATAGCACACAGTATGGCTTTTGGCCGTCTTCATTAGACCAGTGGTCATCGTTTGAGGAAATTTTAGTACCTTCTACAATATTGTTGAAGTTGTGTATTGTTAGAAAATATATTATCTATTTTAATTTTATTTTAGGGTGTAAAGTTTATGTATGATTGTGTAACTGGAACTCAGATTGAAAACAGTTATGGTTGTATCATGGCCGATGAAATGGTAAATTATAATTTTGCTGTTTTCATTTTCTTCAAATGGGATTTTGTCTTGGTCTTCCCTTCTCTTCTCTTCTCTTCTTTCCTCTCTGCACACTGTCTCCTCTCCCCACCCCTCCCCACCCCACCCCTCACTCCCCCCATCCCCTCTCCTCTCTTCTCCCCTCTAGCCCTCCTCCTCTCCTATCCCCTCCTTTCCGCTCCTCGCCTCTCTTCTCCTCTCCTCTCTTCTCTTTCACTCGCCTCCTCTCTTTCACTCCCTTCCTCTCTCCCCACCCCTCCTCTCCTCTCTTCTTCCCTCCTCTCCTCTCTTCTCCCCTCCTGTCCCTCCTCCTCTCCTCTCCTCTCTTCTCCCCTCCTGTCCCTCTCTCCTCTCCTCTCCGCTCCTCTCTTCTCTCCCCCCCCACCTCTCCCCACCCCTCTTCTCTCCCCCCCCACCTCTCCCCACCCCTCTTCTCCTATCCCCCACTCCCCTCCCCTGCTCTCTCCCCTCATGTCCTCTCAGACCAATGTTCCTAACTAGCTAATAAACATATAATTATTTTACAACGTAACAAAATAAATAAACAAGTTGTTTTGTACCAGGGAATAATTCATACTTATAACCCCCTCAAAACATGGTAATAATTGTAACAGCATAGTAAATATTTTGTTTAGACCAGGATAAATAAACATGTTGTTGTGTGACTGAAATGAAATGAAATGAAATGGGGTTTAACTCCTATTGTTTTGCTCCGAACTGGGCTACTGAAGATGGCCAAAAGCCATACAGTGTGCTATGAGGGGAATTTTGCCTGGACAGCGGCACTACGGCCTACTCTCATATCGAATTCCAACTGTCAAGGGATCTTTTACGTGCATGCCAATGTGAACATGGGGCCTCGGTTTTTCGTCCCATCCAAACGACTAGACAGCTGTCCTTGTCAGGCCCTCTGTCCTGCATCACTGACAAGGGAGAACCATGCCAGAAAATCTGGATGAACTTTCTCGGCCAATGCAGCGATAGAACACCCGACCTCCAGGCTAGCGAGCCAGCATCTTACCCACTTAGCGACCATGATCCCCTTCTGTGACTGAGGACATGAACCATGGATGAATTAAATACTCTATAAATTCTTATGACTATTATTATTATTGTGGAATAATTTGTATAAATAAACATGTTGTTGTGTGGCTTACGGCATGAATTAAACACTCTATAAATGCACAAGACTATTATTATTGTGGAATAATTTGTACTCATAAAAAAACAAAAACAAACTCCTAATCCCCACAGGGCAAACTACATAGTGTAATGTCCTTACTATCATCAAGGTTATTCTACATTACTTCTTTTAATTTAGTAATTATTTTGTTTTCAGGGTTTGGGGAAGACATTGCAATGTATTACACTTGTTTGGACTTTGTTGGTAAGTATAATATTTTAAAAAATGTTGTCACATATTTAGACAATATTATACGTTCACAATCTCATCCCAGTCTTGTAAGTGTATTGATGTATGCAATTTTAAAAAGCAAACAACTTTGGCATATGTTTCACTGCTTTGACATGACATGGATTGTTAAAAAAATTTGACCTCCAACTTGATAAAATTTAAGTAGGAAGCAGCCGAAAAATCTGTGTAGAAAACAACTGAAAATTTGTGTATTGAACAACCAAAAATTTGTGTAACAAATCACACCACTGCTCGGCTTATTTTGTTCCATGTTCTTTGAAAATTTGTATGAGCCACAGTGGCTCAGTGAGTGTCATTGGTTCACTAACCTGGATGTCCTGTGTTCGATCCCTGTGTTGGCCGAGAAAGTTCATTAGGATTTTCCTTCATGGTTCCTCCTCATCAGTAGTGCAGGACAGAGGGACTGGCAAGGGACAGTGTATAGTCTTTAGGGTGGGATGAAAAACCAAGGTCCAGTGTAAACATTAGCATGCACATAAAAGATCCATTGGCAGTTGGAATTCGATATAAGAGTAGGCTGTAGCACCACTGTCCGGGCAAAATTTCCCTCATAGCACATTGTATGGTGTATGACTGTCTTCATTAGGCTATTCGGAGCAGAACAGTAGGATGTTAAACCCCATTAACATTTTGGTGAGGAGGGATTGTTTTAACAAATAGGGTTAGAGTACATTTAAAAATGTAAAAGACTCTGGTCTTCTATTTACCATATATATTTAACGTACCCAAAATATGTTCTTTTGAATAGTTTATTTTAACAACTGTGATATATATATATTTCTATAGAGACAGAGTCCTGATTGTTGTCCAACTGAACATAAAGGTATTATCGTATCACCCAGCAGCTTAGTCAAGGTAATTCACTTTATTAAATAGAAGGGAGGTCAGAAATACCTCCACACTGAGTTACATACCATAAGGGTTAAGCCTAGGGTTATGATTAGTTACGGTAATTCACTTTATTAAATTGGAGAGTCGATTGTCACCTGGTTTGGTCATCGCAAGGCTTCAGGTTAGGTAATCATAACCTTATTCCTTAACTAGAGTTCACGATAGATGACATTTCTGTATGAAAAAGATCTCCCCTTCCGGCCTGATCTCCAACCCAGACAGTCTGATCTCCTCAAATAGTCTGATCTCCTCAACCGGCCTGATCTCCTCAGCCGGTCTGATCTGCTCAACCAGTCTGATCTCCTCAACCGGTCTGATCTCCTCAACTGATCTGATCTCCTCGATTGATCTGTTCTCATCAACCGGTCTGATCTTCCCAACCGATCTGATTTCCTCAACTAATCTGATCTACTCAACCGGTTTGATCTTCTTAACTGATCTTCTCAACTGGTCTGATCTTCCCAACCGATCTGATTTCCTCAACCGGTCTAATCTCCTCAACCGATCTGATCTCCACAACTAGTCTGATCTCCTCAACCAGTCTGATCCCCTCAACCAATCTGATCTCCTCAACCAGTCTAATCTCAACCGATTTGATCTCCTCAACCGATATAATCTCCTCAACCAGTCTGATCTCCTCAACCGGTCTGATCTCCTCAACCGGTCTGATCTCCTCAACCGGTCTGATCTCCTCAACCAATCTGACCCCCTTAACCAGTTCGATCCCCTCAACCCGTCCGATCCCCTCAACCAGTCTGATCTGATCTTCCCAACAGGCCAGTAATGTATAGAATATAGCTTGAGAATTTGTAGCATTCTCAGGTAGATAGTTTTATTCAGTGTCATGTGGACATTTACTGGAAAAACTTTTAAATATAATGATATTCTATCTGGTAATATGAGTTTATTTATTTATACAGAACTGGTATAATGAATTTAATAAATGGTTGCCTGGAAAAGTTCGATGTCTGGTCATAGATTCTGGAACGAAGAGTGAAATAGATAAAAATCTTAGTAAGTATATTTACTGTAAAAGAAATGAAATTGGTGTTTAACGTCCTACTTTTCTTCACTAACCGGCCAAAAGATAATGTGTATGTGCCATTCAGTCAATCTGATTAAAGTACAGATCTATATTTTGTTGTGTTTTTTATTTTGATACTTTCGGTGGCCTCCACTACATGAAGATCTGACCAGTTATAGTGGGAGGTCGTGTCAGGGGTCATACAAGTGACTTTTGACCCTATGACGTCAGACATTTGATTAACCAATAAACGTGTGATGTTTCTAGTGGGTATTTGGAAATGCAACTTTGTTGCGAATGTCTACCCACTGTTTCATACACCGCATGCCAAGAACTCACCCCAACAGATCATTTGATTGACTAATTTCTCGCATCAAGTGTAGTGAAGACTAGTAAAATGAAAATTTGAACTATAAAAAAAAAATGAAATAGGATTTGTGTTTTAATCAGATCGTCTTTCAGTGCACTAGGAGGGAAATTTTGTCCTGCCAGCGCTACTTTAGCTTATACAGGTCACAATTCTATGGAATACAATTACTGCTTTTTACTGAGCGACGTTTCGACTAGGCTTCTCTAGTCATTATCAAGCAATGATAAAAAATGAAAATATGACAGGACAATATATACATGTACACAACAATGCTTAGTTAATGCTGACAAACCAGGGATGTAACTTAATTACGTGTACCTAATGGTAATCTGATTTAATTGTACGCTAATAAGTAATAATACCAATTAACCTAAAAATTTGACTAATTGATTAATGGATAAGTTGTTGTGGAGTATACACAATGATTAGTGGGTTTTAATAATACAAACGTTGCAAGAAAATGAAAATTGATGAAATGTTATCAAAGACCCCTTTCACTGAAATAAATACAAATGATAAAAGAATAGATTGTTGTGGAGTATTTACAACGATTTGATGAGGTTTTGATAATGACAACATCCCAAGAAGATGAGATTTGATTGGTGTTATGAACTAAATAATTGATATGTGGATGTTGATGCGAGTGATTACACTGATATACGAAAAACCCTTAGAACAATGACTGCACAAATGATCAATAGTCCCCTGAAGGCTGACAATTTAAAATATTGAGTGGTACTTCACTGGATGTTATAGTGATGTAGAAAAGCAGGGTTAGAAATATTGAGTGCATTAAATTACAATAACCGCAGGCCTGAAAATCAAAAATGCCTGAAAAGCAAAAATAGCTTGATAATGACTAGCTTGATAATGACTAGCTTGATAATGACTAGCTTGATAATGACTAGCTTGATAATGACTAGAGAAGCCTAGTCGATACGTCGCTCAGTAAACAGCAGTAATTGTATTCCATATTGTCACCTGTATACTCTAGTTCAATTACTAAATGCCATTGAAACAGTTTACTTTAGCTTACTCTTATTTTGAATGGTTTATTGCATATACTTTAAATCATTAGATCTGTCATTGAGTCATGTGCCATGGTTTTGAATCCCTCCGCTTATACATGATAAGGAGTAGGGTCACCTGTCCAACCTTGTGAGTTATCTCTGGGTCCTCTGGTTTCCTCCAAATGCTATAAACCCCTGTGTGCAACCAAATTATGGAAATAAAATTGAACCACATGTGAGTCCAGAAATGACCTAGTTTGTGTTGAGTGAATGTTAAACCCCATCCCTATCTCTCCCCCGTAATGTATGAATTATATAAATGTGATTGGTTTATGTTGATATCTATCGGAACGTGTCTCAAAATATCATCCTACTCGAACACTACGATCGGCTAATCAAAACTTAGTTTGTGTCCCAAAAGTCAATTTAAGATTATTTCGACAGCGATCTTTCCAATATAACTCAGCAACATTTTGGAATAAACTACCATGAGAAGTTTAAGATGCACCAACCTTATTGCAATTAAAGAGTTTATTTTAAACACACCTGTTTAAAGAATACTATGAGACATAAAAACTGTTATAGCACATAAACCATAATGTCTTTAGACTTTTTATAGCGCTATGAGCATATACTTAGTGTATGGAGTTTAGCACGTTAAAAGCGCACTATTATTATCATTATCATTATCATTATTATTATTATTGTTATTATTGTTTGATTAATCAGCTGTATATGATGATAATAATTGATACACTCATGTTTTCAGCTCAATTTATGCAGCAAAATGGAAAGCGTGTTCATCTACCTGTATTAATTATATCATACGAAACATTTCGACTACATTCCAGTGTTTTACATAAAGGTTCAGCTGGTTTTGTTATTTGTGACGAGGTTTGTGTCTTCATTATAAAACTTCTATCCTCATTTTAACCTATTAGTGATCAATTTGAGATGAGGCCTGTCTTAAGAAGCAACCTTTTATTTTTTAACACAGTAGAGATCGCTTTTGAATGCGTTTTCCTGAATGTTGATTTTTATTTTTTACTAAATCACCCATTTATGACTTGACAGGTGTCTGTCATCGCGAGGACAAAGGGGTATGTATGAATTATGCTGTCGGCAAAATCAGAACTTTTATTCGTCAGATTGCTATGTCTGATGTAACAGGTTTATTAAAGTCACAAGTCAGATTGTTCACATGTATCTCAAAAGTCAAGAGTGGGACCCCAGGGGGCTCAGCGTTCGATCCCTAGAAAGTGCATTGCGATTTTTCTGGCGTGGTTCTCCCTTGTCTGTGGTGTAGGACTTTAGGCCTGGCAAGAGACAACATATAGTCATTAGGATGGAATGAGAAAATGAAGTCATTTGTACACATTGCCGTGCACGTAAAAGAACCCTTGACAGTTGAAATTCGATATAAGAGTAGGCTGTTGTCTGGGAAAAATTTCCCTTCTAGCACATTATATTAGTCCAGTTGAGGCAGAAAAGTAAGATTTTAGGACCTCATGTCATTTCAAAAGTACTGTTTAATATAAAGACTGTTATGTAATTAAGACAGATCATTTACATATATCTTGAATCAGGTCAGATCATTTACATATATCTCGGAACGAGTCAAATCATTCACATATATCTCGAATCAAGTCAGATCATTCACATATATTTCGAATCAAGACAGATCATTTACATATATCTAGAATCAAGTCATTCATATGTAACTTGAAACGAGTCAGATCATTCACGTATATCTTGAAACAAGCCAGATCATTCACATATGTCTCAAAAGTAAAAAATATGTACTATTTTAATGTTGAGACATTTGGTACTATGTAGGGAAACACATCCAAGTATAAATGGGCTGACTTGTACAAAATAATAGCACAATTATTGTTACTATATTTGTCCACAGCGGAGTCAAATCAATAAAAAATAACTTTGAAATGGCCTTATAACTTACAGGTAAATTAGAATTGATCGATTTTAATCATTTTTGCATTAAATTAATTTTCTCTTCTTAGGATGAAACTGACCTCTTATTATATTTTAATTTCAGGGTCACAGATTAAAGAATTCCGAAAATCAAACATATCAAGCATTGAATCAATTAAACGCTAAAAGAAGAATTCTTCTATCAGGAACTCCTATACAGAATGATTTACTGGAATATTTCAGTTTAGTTCATTTTGTAAATACAGGAATATTAGGTATGTATTTGTGATGAGGTTCTCGTTGTGAGTTATAAACCGTTTTTATAATCACATTAATCATTGTAACAGGGTTTTTGTGTCTTTGTTATAATAAATCTTTTATTATCATTTTAACCCTTAACTGATTTGTGAGAGGGTTTTTGTGTCTTTGTTATAAACATTTTATTATCATTTTAACCCTTAACTGATTTGTGAGAGGGTTTTTGTGCCTTTGTTATGAGGGGATCACGGTGGCTTAGTGGCGCTCTCCGGGCATAAATTTCCCTCATAGCACACTGTATGGCGTATGCCCGTCTTCATTAACCCAGTTCGGAGCAGAACAGTAGGATGCTAAACCCCATTTCATTTCACCTTTGTTATGAACATTTTATTATCATTTTAACTCATAACTGATTTGTGAGAGGGTTTTTGTGTCTTTGTTATAAGCCTTTTATTATCATTTTAACCCATCACAGATCAATTTGTGACAAGATTTGAGTCTTAGTTTTAAACCTATTATAATGATTATAACTTGTTAGCGATTGCTGTAACCGCAGGGTTAAACTGAATATTTATATACTTGAATCTAAACAACTCTTATACTATAAACGTTTTTCAAAGAATTGTTCAACAACTTTCTACCTCAAAGATCTTCTTAATAATCTTAAACCCAATCTGTCTCGACAGATTACAAGATCTTCCAATAACCATTTATTTACCACTGACAGGATACATTTCTCTTGGAGACATTCTCCATCTGATCATTCAGAATTCAGACAGATAGTCAAATGTCTTAACATTTCTTTCATGATTTATATATTAACTAATATAGTTAAAAATGTTGTATTAGAGTGATGTCTGTCTGTGGTCTAAGGGGAGTTAACTCTTTATGTTGGGCTGTCCAAGGAAATGAAGTAATCAACATATCTGTATAATACCAATACAGGACTTTCACAATACTTATCAAAATGCAAAATTTGGGTGTCAATGTTTTCTGTTAATGATTTTTCTTTTATTTAATTCTATAGAAGCCATATCCATTTAATTCTGTAGAAACCATATCCATTTAATTCTATAGAAACCATATCCATTTAATTCATATGTTCATTATCCCAGTTGCTGCAGTAGTAGGATGTTAAATCCCATTTCATTACATTCATTAAAATTAATATAAATAATGGCCGACCAAACATTTTTGCGAAATTTTGTGATTCTTGACAGTTATTTACTGTATTGAAATTTAATTTGGTATCTTACGATAATCAAATATTCGATTCCTTGAAAAAGTCCATAAACAAATATAAAAATTGTTCAAACTAATGCCTGAAAATGGAGTTTGCAATATATTTCAATATGATCTTGGGTCCCATTAAACAGCCCCGAAAATGGAGTTTGCAATATATTGCAATATGATCTTGGGTCCCAATAAACACCCCCGAGTTTGCAATATATTGCAATATGATCTTGGGTCCCAATAAACAGCCCTACATCTACATGTAAGTGTATGAAACTTATGTATTTTAGGCACAGCACAAGAATTCAAACGTAAATTTGAGACGCCAATATTAAGAGGAAGAGATGCTGGTGCGTCTGATTCTGATCATAAAAAAGGAGAAGAAAAATTACAAGAGGTTTGATGATTTCTGTTTAATAAATAATAATAATAATAATAAAATTCAAACTTAATTAAAGGGGCCTTATTGGAGATTAGATAAAGAGCTGGCAGTTCTCACTGTACTGGTTAAAAACTAGATAATGTAAAGGGAATTTGCTGAAAATTTCACTCAAATTGATCTACTCTGAACCGAGAATTTAGCGATTGAATTTTAGGCCGAGCCTCGATCATCATTACTAAAGTCTGTATGATAAAAAACATAGTCTCGATTATTCCATTTTGGGATTTAATCATCAATGAGCTTTAGCAGCAGATTGAATTAAAATCTAGTAAATATCACAGGCTAGCGATGACACCGAGAGTTGATTATGGCCTGGATCAGTTAATTAATGTCTAATTACAGATTTACATTAAATTTCAGGCCCAAAGAAAGACCTGCAATAGGCAGATTTGGCTCTTGCATAATGTATGTTTATGTTTGCATGGAAGTATTCTGTTGTTGTGCTAGAATCAATGAATGTTTCAGTTGAATTTAAGTCCAATTTATCATTGTCCCAAATCAATTGTCCAATATAAATTTATTATATTCTTCAATATTGAATTGTTATTTCAGTTGGCAGCCATTGTGAATAAATGTATTATCAGAAGAACTCAAGCTCTTCTTACTAAATATCTTCCTGTTAAAAGTAAGTTATTCTAAATATCTTCATGTTTAAAGTAAGTTATTCTAAATATCTTTATGTTAAAAGTAAGTTATTCTAAATATCTTCATGTTCAAAGTAAGTTATTCTAAATATTTTCCTGTTAAAAGTAAGTTATTCTAAATATCTTCATGTTAAAAGTAAGTTATTCTATATATATTCATGTTAAAAGTAAGTTATTCAAATATCTTCAAATTTACTCAATTTTCAATCACTGTTTATGAGAAATATCTTTTTGATCCAGAAACACTAAACATTGTACATAGTTTCTAATTGATGTATTTGGTACATTAAAACAACAAACGTTTTATAAAGGGCTAAATTTTAGTTAAAATAAGACGAATAATTTTGAGTGAATACTTAAAGGAGCTAAATCGCTAACATTTGGGAACTAGAAATTGACAAAAGTGGGTCGCAACACATATAATACTGTAATATGAATGTATAAAATCTGATTTACATTCAATGGTTTCTGTTTTTACTCCAATTTCAAATCAGTTATGTTCGGCGAAATTAGCCAGCAGTGTCAAGCGAGTGCAAATTTCTAGCGTCCGGTTATTCCAGTCTACATATGCCGTTTGATTTGGTGCAATGTGTCTAGCCTTGTCCCTCGAGTCTCTTGATACAACTGGGACTGAAGCGCATTATGGTACACGATTCATGTACCAATGGTAAAATGTTTATTTTGTCTTAAATATTGGATATCAAAAGCCCATCTTTTTCCGGTAAGATCACGACATGAATGTTGATTTAATTTGACAAATAATTCGTGTTTTCAATGTTGAAGATTTTTGATGATATTGAGTTAGAGACTTAGCTACTTTAACTTGAGCCTGAGAATGCTTTGTGAACTCAGGGCCTAGTTTTCCCTTGTCAGTGGTGCAGGACGGGTCCCATGTGTGTACCACTGGCAGCACATTGAAGACCCCTTGACATTTGGAAATAAAGAGTAACTCGACTGTTTAGGCAAACTTTTCCTGTGTGACGTGTGTCTGTCTTTATTTTTTAGCCTGGAAAATCCCATTTAATTTCATTTTGTTTCACTAAAATTTTAAAAATACATGAATGTCATTCAGGAAATATCAATAATTAAATCTGAATGTTTAAAAATTTATTTTTTAATCCCCAGTTGAAGAAGTTGTTTGCTGCAGATTAACACCATTACAGATGGCGCTGTATAAATCATTTGTTGATTCCCGAGCGGAAGAATTAGAGACAAGCGGTAAAATGTCTGTCAGCAGTTTATCTTCAATAACGCAACTTAAGAAACTCTGTAATCGTAAGTTATCAAGCTAGTTTCATTGTCTTAGATGGGATAACTAATACTTTTTTCACAACGGCCTGCTTTTATTATATAAGGTTGTAAGTTCTGATATATTTTGAAGATGTAGAATTGTACAGGATTGATTCTAATAACTAATAAATAAAAATTGATGTCTGATTGGGCATATTTCTGGTCGAACATTTGCAGACTTGTGTAGGTCATGTCCGTCATATACATGCAAAACCATATGCGCGGTCTAGACACATCCACCATTCACCTAATAAACAACTACACCAACTTTAAACAATCTACCATAATTAGAAAGGCTGGGGACAACAAATAAGGTCTGTCATTGAGTCAAGTGGAGTTGTTTCAATTCCCAGCTCATGGGTTTTCTCTAGCTCCTCTGGTTACTTCCCACTGCTAAAGACCCCAAGAGAATTATTGAAATAAAATTGAACCATATGTCAGTCAACAGCTACAATATGACATAGTTTGTGTCGAGTGGACGTTAAACACCATTTCTCTCTCTCTGTCTTTTCGAAATGTAACGATTATATGGTATATTTTTAGATCCTGATTTAATTTATGATAAATGTGTAGAAGGAAGTGTTGGATTTGAAGATTTGTTAGATATTTATCCACCTGGTTATAATCTTAAAACCGTTAATCCAGCTTTATCAGGTATGTCTGTATTATATACCCTTATTATCCTCTTCATTAGCCTTGGTGCAGAAAGGCAGGACTATTTAAAAGTGACTTTCTACAGGGTACTATTTAAAAGGGTCCCTCCCTTCACTCCGTCTGTGGGGGATCACGTGGCTAAGTGGGTAAGACACTGGCTCGCTAGCCTGGAGGTCGGATGTTCGATCCCTGCATTGGCTTAGAAAGTCCATCCAGATTTTCCGGCGTGGTTTCCCCTTGTCAGTGATGCAGGACGGAGGGCCTGACAAGGACAGCTGTCTAGTCATTTGGATGGGACGAAAAACCGAGGTCCTATGTACATATTGGTGTGCACGTAAAAGATCCCTTGGCAGTTGGAATTCGATATAAGGGTAGGCCGTAGCGCCGCTGCCCGGGCAAAATTTCCCTCATAGCACACTGTATGGCGTATGCCCGTCTTCATTACCCCAGTTTAGGAGCAGAACAGTAGGACGTTAAACCCCATTTCATTTCATTTCCATCCATCTGAGGAATGTCTGCACATGTTACCCAGAGTGATTGTTCCATGCTCTTTAGGCATATTACTGTGTCAATAATTAATGAGTGTCATCTATTTATTTTGGGATGAAGGTGTGCAACATCAGCCTCACTGTTTGCTTGTTTTATATTACATGTTATAGTATTCATGTTTTAGATACATTATTGGCTGTGATTAGATCAACATCCAGTGATAAAGTTGTTATTGTTTTATAATCATCAACTAGGGATAAAGTTGTTCATGTTTTATAATCAACAACTAGGGATAAAGTTGTTATTGTTTTGTAGTCAACAACCAGTCACAAAGTTGTTGATGTTTTATAATAACAACCACTGATTAAGTTGCTTTTGTTTTATAATCAACAACCAGTGATAAAGTTGTTGATGTTTTATAATAACAACCCCTGATTAAGTTGCTTTTGTTTTATAATCAACAACCAGTGATAAAGTTGTTCATGTTTTATAATCAACAACCAGTGATAAAGTTGTTCATGTTTTATAATAAAAACCAGTGATAAAGTTGTTGATGTTTTATAATAACAACCAGTGATAAAGTTGATTTTGTTTTATAATCAACAACCAGGGATAACGTTGTTCATGTTTTATAATCAACAACCAGTGATAAAGTTATTGTTTTATAAACAACAACCCGTGATAAAGTTGTTTATGTTTTATATTACAGGAAAGTTTATAGTTTTAGATACATTATTAGCTGTGGTTAAATCAACATCCAGTGATAAAGTTGTTCTTGTCTCTAATTATACTCAAACTCTGGATTTGTTTGAAAAACTCTGCAGGCAGAGAAAGTAAGTATCTTTAATATAATTTACAAGCATCAAAAGTCTGATAATAGTATATACGAACCACGAACCAAGCATGACCTCATCATCGCCATTTTGGCAATGTCGTCATATCAAAAATAAATGCAGAGTTTATTAATATCCAAGGAACAAGCATGACAAGTTTCATGTCGATCGTATTAGAATTGGCAGAGTCTTAGCCTTTTTGTGAAGAGCATTGCCTCCAACAAGAAGAACAAAAACAAGAACAACCCGATGAGATGTGCTTGTCGCTCAGTTCCTGGCCCAAAAATAAAAGTAGTGGTAACAGACAGTCCAACAAAAGCACGTTGTGATCATAAGGTCTGTCATTGGGCTGGGTCACCTGGCATGGTTTTGATTCCCCAGTTGTATTTTACACGGAGTAGGGTCGCCTGTCCAACCTTGTGGGTTTTCTCCAGGTCCTCAGGTTTCCTCCCACTGCTAAAGACCCCTACGTGCTAACGAATTATAGAAATAAAAAAAATTGAACCATATGTTAGTCCTGAAATGACCTACTTTGTGTCGCGTGGATGTTAAAACCCATTTCTCTCTCTCTTATGTTGTTTTTGCTAATGACTATGTTTGTTATTTCTCTGTTTTCAGTTATTTATTTGTAAGACTTGATGGAACTATGACAGTTAAGAAAAGAGCCAAAATCGTTGAAAGATTTAATAATCCATCGGTAAGTAGCTTAATGGTAATATAACGAAATCACAAGTTTCAAATCCCAATTAAAAACTCACTTGTTCAAACAATCTTATGTTGACTAAATTTTTTGAACTGACATATATATAGTTTATTGCTGTTAAAAGCGCTTTGAGCATGCTTATTGATGGATTTGGTGCTCAAGAAATGGACATTTATATATATAACTAGAATCTAATTAAAATCTGTGAATATCTATAAAATTCTACAACGAGATCACTCTGATTAACTCATTGTAAATCCATGATTATCTGTAAAATCAGGGATTTTGTTTGGGTAATTAAAATGTCTTAACATGTTTGAATTAATAGGAATAGAGGAGGGGGGGACGGCAACACCCCCAGTGTGGCTGTACCAGCCGGTAGTTCTGTTTATATTATTTTAACTACATGTATGTGATAAATTTATTGAACAGCAAAAATTCCTCTCGGGATTTTTGAGCATGGTTTCACCATTGTCAGTGGTTCAGGATAGAAGGCTTGGTAAGGAATAGTGTCTTCTCTTTTGAATTGGTGTACACGTAAAAGAACCCTCGACAGGTCGATTACGCAGAAACAACTTAGGTCAAGATTTAACCCATATATACTTTATGCCCTATGCCCGTCTTCATTAGCCTATATGCTGCAGAAGGAAGTTAAAGTCTGTTGTTATTTTGTTCATACCTATATTTAGGGCTGGACAGATTGAGACTATATATTTAATTCCAAGACTTATTATAGCTTTGAACTTCCAGTGAGTCTCTATGGCTCAGTGAATAAGGCACTGGCTCACTAACCAGAAGACCCCATGTTCAATCCATGAAGTCTTCCAACCCACAATTAACCCATGAAACGAGAATTAAAATGACTCATCTATTATTTCAGAGTCCTGAGTTTATCTTTATGTTGAGTAGTAAAGCTGGTGGGTGTGGTCTAAATCTTATTGGTGCAAATCGATTGGTTATGTTTGATCCTGACTGGAATCCAGCCAATGATGATCAAGCTATGGCTAGATGTTGGCGTGATGGACAGAAGAAACAGTGCTATATTTATAGATTAATTGCTGTAAGTATTGTCGTATAATTACTAGTTTACTCTAACAATATTGGAGTTATTTCCCTTTTGTTCATTCTTTTGTATTAGAGTTATTTCCGGTTAATAAAGGACCTTGACCTTCGGGTCCCACACCTTCTGGTGTGTGGGTGAACTGCACAATGGCTCTGTTAATTGTTTTGCTTTAGCGAGTTTGCTCAATCCGATAGCATCGGAATTGATGACCGGTTTAATGGATCCCAATACCACATGGTGAAGATGCCGCTTGTCGTCAATTAAGAATTTTCAACAATTTGTGATAGATGATCAACATTTTCTGATTTGGCCATGGTGAAGATTTTCGCGGGGTTCCGAAGAATGTAGAATTTTGACCAGTTTTTCTGAGTCAAAGGACCTAACTTCGTGGCAGTAATTTTTTTTACAACTTGAAGATATTTGATATGCAGAGTTCGACTTAGTTTTGACTATACAGCAGTCGAAGAACTTATTTTTCAACGAATGATGTCGTCGATTTAGAGAAGCAGATGATTTTTCTTTTAGAGAAGCAGACGATTTTTTTGCCAACATGCAGCAGAAGAGTTTTTGTGCCAGCGTTAGTTTTGTTGTCTAACGTGACTTTTTTTTGACGTTTTTTGGTGTTTTGGACATTGATATAGGTCTATAAGAGTCAATTTGCTGGTTTTGTGACAATTTTGTGAATTTTTGCACGGGATTGATTAATCGCACGTGCTTGTGAAAAGTTATGTGCCCTTGGTTGACTTGGTGGCGCTGAATTCAAGATGGCTGACAATTTTCTGATTTTCAACAATTTCGTCATTGCGAATGCCGAGTGAACTGTATTTCCAGTATTTGTGAACTGTGTTTCCAGTATTTGTGACATTTCAATTTTTAATATCGTTTTTTTACCAGTATAATTGGTGACGCTGAATATTAATATTACGATGTTCTTTATTGACATTAATCTTTGCGTGTAATACGTGTCGCACTGTCGGTGATGTCTTCAATTTTTTTCACATTCATATGTGTGATGTTATGATGATGTAAATATGTTCCAGTTCTTTTAAGGTCATATCCAATTATATTACATCATGTCATAGATGCCAACAGTTCAAACCCAAAACAGATTCGTTAAGACTTTATCATCCCAGAATACCTAATGAATATCGCACTTTTCATAGAATGTGCTTAGATTTTAAATCCATGCCTGTTACTCCAACTGGGTTTCGTCATTTATTAGTTGCTTGTGACGAACTTACTAGATTTATGATATGTATTCCTCTTAAGAGTTTAGATGCTGAAACAATTGCCGAAGCAATTATTCAGAAAATAGTGTGCATATTTGGTCCGCCAAGTTTACTTATTACTGATGCACAATCATCTTTGACAGGAAGTTTAGTTAAGTCTTTATGTAATGCTTTACAAATTAATCATCAATTAATTAGTGTAGCTAATCATGGAAGTTTACTTGTAGAACGTCATATACGCTCTATATCTGACTTACTAAAGTATAATTTGAACCAGTATGGAACAGATTGGGTTCGTTTTGTCTCAACTAGTACATATGCGTACAATTTTTTTTCCTCAGCTCATATAGGTAATTTTAGTCCATATGAACTAGCTTTTGGAAAGGCTCCTCGAAATTTAACTAATATTGTATGGAGTTATGATAATAATGTATCTCATTCATATAGTGACTATTTTGAGCATTTGGAGCAAAGGTTTGCCAATGTTTCAGATGTTGTATTGGATTTGCCAAGAAGGCAAAAACAATTGCAGAATGATAGTGTGTCCCATTCAATTGGTAGGAGTCCTATAGTCTCACATCAAATAGTGAAAAGATTCGTGCAGATTGGTGTGGACCTCTTATTGTACATCAGATATTGGATAGAACACATTTTATGTTAGCGACTTTACAAGGTAAAGTTCTTCCTGATGTGTATAGCATTAATCGATTGAAACCATGTTTCATTAGAGCAAATAACCCAACTAAGACATTTTCTCATATAAATAACTTAAAGTGTTATTTAAGTAAAGAGAGTAATAATAATACAACACTATTAGATAGTATAGAGAATAGTTGTCAATTTACAGATGTGCAAGGTAACTTTTTGCCAGAATATGATGATTCTTCTATTTTGTATAATAGATTTACTAGTCCAATAAATATGGATTCGTTAATTCAAAATAGTCATTCAAATCTTAACCTTGCTTGTATGAGTATTTTAAAAGATTCTCAATTTCAAAGTCAATTGCTTAATATTCATATTAAGAAATGTCGTTTTAAGTATGGCAATTTACAGTTATTAATTAATTTTGATATGAATAATCCTAAGATTTCAGAATGGATTGACGTAAGAAATGATAAGATGTTATGTGATATTGCTGAAAATCTTATTGAGAATAATCAACTTAATATTGTTGGTAGTCCTTGTCACTTTCTTTAAGAGATAATTTTGTGAGTAATCTTATGTGTTGTAGATATTTTACTTTGTTCAAAGTACTTCAAAGTCATATTTAGATGTTCTTTTGAATTTTCTCTACGCACTATTGTTAGTTAATATGTTAGTAATTTGCTTCCTTATTGAACAGCTCTTTGTAATTTGTAATACTTATATTTCTATATTGTTCATTAGGTCATAGTTATTATGTCAACTGATTGAGCTTAATGTTATTATTAGCATTATTATATTGTATTACTACAAGATAATCTTTTTATATTAATATTGCTTTGAATCACATTTTTGTATTTGTCTGTTTTAATACATTTTCGTATGAATGTGTGAACGAATGTTTGGTACTTTAATTTTCATATTTTTCAATTATGTATATTCCCTTATTTTGTTTCCGAGGGAGCCTTTCTTTAATAGGAGGGATGTCGTATAATTACTAGTTTACTCTAACAATATTGGAGTTATTTCCCTTTTGTTCATTCTTTTGTATTAGAGTTATTTCCGGTTAATAAAGGACCTTGACCTTCGGGTCCCACACCTTCTGGTGTGTGGGTGAACTGCACAATGGCTCTGTTAATTATTTTGCTTTAGCGAGTTTGCTCAATCCGATAGCATCGGAATTGATGACCGGTTTAATGGATCCCAATACCACAGTATGTTGGACAGAATCTTTTAGAACCTTATTTCGATAAATTTCTAGAAGATAAAAATAACATTCTGGGACAAGTTATGGAAGTGGTGACCAAGACCAAGTTCTTCTTTAATTTGATTATTTCCATATTTAATGAGGGGGGTTAAATGGCTGAATGGTTAGTGCGTGTGCGCTGTATCATAAGGTCTGTCAGTGAGTCAACTGACCTGGTTTCGATTCCCCGGTTGTATGTGACAAGGAGTAGGGTCGTCCGTCCAACCTCGTGCATTTTCTCCGGGTCATTTGGTTTCCTCCCACTGCTAAAGACAAAATTGAACCATGTGTTAGTCTCGAAATTACCTACTTTGTGTCAAGTGGATGTTAAACCCTGTTTCTCTCTCTCTCTATCTCATATTTAATGTTACGTAATGTAAATTTTGTTTTCAGACTGGTACAATAGAAGAAAAGATATTTCAGAGACAGGCTCACAAGAAAGCATTAAGTAGTTGTGTTATCGATAAAGAAGAAGATGTAGAAAGACATTTTAGTTTAGATGAATTACGAGATTTATTTAAGCTCAATGAAAATACTGTCAGTGATACTCATGAAAAGTAAGTTCTTCGATTGCACTAAAGTCTAGGGGAGTGGGGGGATTGATCACATGTGCTTTATGTCATAAGGGTTGTCATTGAGTCTAATGGCATGGTTTCAATCCCAAGGTCGTCTTCCCAACCTTGTGTGTTTTCTCCAGGTACCCTGGGGTTTTTTTCCAATGTTATTGAAAAAAAATCAACCCTTTTTTTTTTTCCTATGTTATTAAAAAAAAAAATTCATCCCTAGTCCCGAATTGACCTACTTTGTGTTGAGTAAATGTTAAACCCATTTTAAAAATTGACCATTAGGCAAAATTGTGTGGTTAAATTCTTTTGCTCATTTCTTATTTTACAATATATTAAAGGGACATTATGAAAGATGTAATAGTTAAAAACTTGATAAAAGTGAAGGGAATATGCTGAAAATTTCAGTAAAATTGCTCCACTCTGAACCAAGATATTAGCGTCGGAATTTAAGCCTAGCCTCGATCATCATTGCTAATGTCTTGATTATCCATTTTTGGATTAAATCATCAATGAGGGTTGAGCAACAAATTGGATTCAAGTCCAGTGAAAATCGGACACATAAGATGGCATCGAGAGTTGATTACCGTCTTGTCATGTTAATAAATGTCTAATTAATAGTTTATGTAAAGAGCTGCAATAGGCTGATTTAGCTCTTGTATAATGTATGGTTAAATTTTTTGTTATTTACAGATTTAAGTGTCGTCGTTGTGTGAACAATATTCAAGTCCGTCCACCTGCACCAGACACAGATTGCAATTCCGATTTGTCCCAGTGGAATCACTGTGCTGATAAAAAAGGACTCGTTGATTTGGCATTAAAGTCAGCGTGGGATTCGGCCATTTCCTTTACGTTTTATCATCACAGTCATGAAGAACAACGAAAAACTGTGTAGATTTTCTGGGGGGGTTTTATGGACAACTTTCATCTCAAGCAGAAGACTTTTTTGTGATTATAGAGATTGACTTTGTTATTGTAAACTGAAGACTTTATTTATGATCTTCAGAAAGAACTGCAGATTTTATTTCAAGAGATTAAGATGACTGCTTTATAGTGCTGAATGTACATAATTCCAAGCCTTTGTTAACAGATGACTGAGTTACTCCAAGACCTTTCTAGACAACTGCAGATCTTAGCAGAGCTCATCAGTGGGCCCCCTTAGCTCACGAGTTAATGAACAGGGGCCCCATACTCCGGGCCATGTAATTATTCTGTAAGGGCCGTTATGGTTTTGTATACCGTATGTAATGAAATACCTGGTGTACACTTGAAACAAGGTTATACGCTGGCCTACTATGTTGGCTGCCCTGCATCTTAGCCTTGAAAGTCAAGTCTAGGTCACATTTGAATGGCCTTAATAAATGTTCCAGGCCTTAGGCCTACTTTTGTAAATATTCTGTCTGTAATATCTCAGCATGAGTGCTGAAAAGAACTCACGTTACAAGGACATAATGGGGATACTCGATTTTCACTCTGGAACGTTGATGGAATTGCAATCAAGTGATGCGAAATTCAGTCCTGTCACAGTTCTGTCAGCCCCGATAACAGAGGTGGTGTGAGTAGAATCGTGTCATGGTTCGTTTGATAGGTTTTCTCATGCAGTCGCCGGATGCTTTATAGCCCCAAATTCCCATTTTTAATCGATTGTCACTATTTTTGGGTTTGACAGATTTCAGTTCCGGAACGTGATCTACATCGGTCATAATTCCTTGGGGGACAATTACAGTTTATGATGGAATGTTTGGACTAGGGTTCTTCTAATCTATATCATTAAAATGATGCCATTAAAACATTTTAATCCTTGTATATCTGTGTAACTGTAAACTTAAATTAATTGATGAGATAATAAATCCTCAACGAAATCTTCATTAACCTATCTTTCAAACCCACACAGTTTGGTGTTAAGCATTGGGTTCATGAGAGGATGAACCCTATCGGTATTCAGTATTCCACGACATTCCATTCCGGTTTTGTCCTCTCTTTGCCGAAACCCATATGAACTCATTGATGCGGTAGTTGTTAAGGATTCTTTTCAAATTTGGTGTTAAGCATTCAAGTCAGCAGAGGATATAAGTATAATTAACATTAGCCCATACTTGATAACTCAGTAAAATGCACAGTAGATATCAGTCTTATTACCATTAGATTATATTTTATAACATCATAGACAATATTCCACAGTAGATACCAGTCTAATTACCATTAGATCATACTTTATAACCCAGTAATACACAGTAGATACCAGTCTAATTACCATCAGATCATACTTTATAACACAGTAGATACCAGTCTAATTACCATCAGATCATACTTTATAACCCAGTAATACACAGTAGATACCAGTCTAATTACCATCAGATCATACTTTATAACACAGTATATACCAGTCTAATTACCATCAGATCATACTTTATAACCCAGTAATACACAGTGGATACCAGTCTAATTACTTTATGACCTAATAGGCAATAATGCACAGTAGTTTGTGTAACAGTAAACTTGAATTAATTGGCAAATTCTCAAAGAATTCTTCTGAATCTCAAATCATCCCCATATAACTTAAAAAATAATTATGCATTGGGAAATAAAATGGGGTTTAAGGGTTTACGGTCAATGTGATTAAAACACAGATCCTATTTCGTTTCGTTTTTTATAGTTCAAAATTTTGTTTAACTTGTCTTCACTTCAAACGAAATATTGATCAGGGGCCTGTTTCACGAAATTTTAACTTAAGATAAAATCCAAATTTTAGTAGATACTTCAATTTTGATTGGCAAAGCACTGAAATCAATCCAATAATAATATTATCCAATCAAATTACTAAAATTTGGATTTTATCTTAGTTAAAATTTGGTGAAACAGGCCCCTGTATGTTAATCAAATTGAGTTTAACGTTCTACTTTTCTGCACCAACAGCCCTAATGAAGATGGACATGCGTCATGCTATGAGTATGAAAGACATTTTGCTTGGACACTGGCTCTATGGCATACTCTTATTACGAATTCCAACTGTCAATGATTCATTTATGTGCACGCCAACGTGTACGCGGGACCTCTCTTTTTCTTCCAATACCAACGACTAGACAATGTCCCTTCAAGGCTCTGAGTCGGGTGGAATTATATCAATAGAAAATCGATGTAAACCTAATCCAGCCTAGAATGTATTCAAATAGATTAGTTAACATTTAAATAAGAAAGAGAATCAAAATAGATACTCCCCCCCCCCCGATTCGTATTTAATCGGATCATAAGATTTCAGAAAACCTCATAGGTGGCGCTGACATGTGTTGACTGTATCTATCGTCTGAAGTTTAACGTTGACAAATATTCAATTCACCCATAGGTTATGTATGGTTTAATGGTCGAGAGAGCTAGACATTAAGTAATATATTGATACTGCACGAGGCGTAAGCCGAGTGTTGTTTCTATATATTACGCAATGTCTTTAGCTCGAGACCATTAAACAACTTAAAATACAGACACTATCCCGCACGTACTGCTTTTCAATGAAATACGTCACGCGTGTCCAATATTTCATCTAGCATAGATAATGTACGATTGGCAAGTTGCCCGTACATTTTTGGAAAAAATGGTACGCCAACATATATAGGATGACGTCACATCTGTATTTTAAACCCGTTTAAATACTGAATGGGAATTTTGGGCTGATATTGCTCGTAAAGATCAAAATTTCACAATTATTAGAGTTTGCAACGGGTTAACAATTTGAATACATTTTAGAGAGGATTAAGCTGTATGAAATTAGATTATATCTAAGCAGCTTCATGACAAAATATTAGTAATGTTGGACACTCCACCCATGATTGGGGGTTTGGATAGCTGTATGGTTAGCGTGTACGCGCTGTATCATAAAGTCTGTCATTGAGTCAACTTGCGTGGTTTCGAATCCTCGGTTGTACGTGACAAGGAGTAGGATCGCCTGTCCAACCTCGTGGGTTTTCTCCGGGTGCTCCGGTTTCCTCCCACTGCTAAAGACCCCTACGCGCAAGCGAATTATTGAAATAAAATTAAAACCATATGTTATTCTCGAAATGACCTAGTTTGTGTCGAGTGGACGTTAAACCCCATTTCTCTCTCTCTCCACCCAATCATTTGAGTTAAATGAGAAAAATATATAAAAACAAGTTTCATTTTTCCGAGGTCACCTACCTATTTATGCTACCGAAATTAAGTGACTGACATAGATCTACATATTAAAGAAATTATTCGGTCTTTACTAGATTCAGATTGATCTAATTTATCCGGATAACAGAGTAGAGAAAAACAAATCTCCTACGTAATAACACTTTTTTTATAGGAAGAAATAATTTAATTCCATTAACCGATAAATAGCTAAATCAGCAGATTTGTTCACTACTGTATGACGTCCGTCTTTTGGAATCGTTTGAAATCATTGGTAAGCTAGGTAATCCACATTAACCCGGTGTGTCAAATTATTGATTTTTTTTTCTACTTTACGCAAAATTCCATATATAGGCAGATCTTTTTTTATCACAAATAGTATGACGTACTAAGTTTATGTGCACTAGATTTTACTTTGTTATAAATTCTGGTCTGTGGGGAATTTATGCCGCGTCGTTATTAACATTTTCAGATTAAAGAATGACGACGACTCCCACTCATTATAGACGTATAAATATTTTAATAAAAGGCGTAATGAGAATTCTGAATGTCAGACTAGATATAAAATTTGTCTCAGATTCCAATCTTGTGGAATGCAGATACCACACAGAAAGATGAAGGGTATAAAAAGAGAATTTTGTCAAAAACGCCCACAGACTACATATCAATATTATTGATCAAGGGCCATAACTCCCGAAATCTATTATCATAAATCGCTGAACATCCACAGACTTCTTCGTCACGTCTGTCTTCATTGTGCAAAACAGTAGGGCGGTAAATCCCATTTCACGTCTTCTTCGTCTCGTGAATATAAACGGTGTGTATAAATTTCAAGTTAATCGGATAATAATTTTAGCCTCTATGCAGTCACAAGCTTTGGTCAAGAGCGAAAACTCCAACCGCAATTATTAGACATTGTTGAACATCAACAGGCCTCTTCGTCTTGTGGGGGAGGGGGGGAGAATGTTGGGCGAATGGTTAGGACGTGCGCGCAGTATTATAAGGTATGTCATTGACATTGAGTCAACTGGCGTGGTTTCGATTCCCCGGTTGTATGTGGCAAGGAATAGGGTCGCCTCCCACTGCTAAAGACCCCTACGCGCAAGCGAATTATTGAAATAAAATTGAACCATGTGAGTACCGAAATGACCTAGTTAGGGTCGAGGGGACGTTAAACTCCATCTCTCTCTCTCTCTCTCTCTCTTGTCTTGCATGTTTAGAACGTGCTTAAGACATTTCAAACTGATCACGGGACATAAACTATCTTACCAACGCTGTACCACGGGTTTCAACTTGGTCATACGCCGATCTGGACGGAATTGTCTTAAAAATTTCTTGTCAATTTAGACGCCGATTGGACAACCTGGATAAAATAGATACTGTAAAATGAATACAATTCAAAATAAATTTCAGCCAAATTACTTTATTCTGAGCGAAAATTTGAATGTTTGAAGTTTTGACAAGAAATAGCGTAAATAGTCTCGATTGTCAAGTACCATTTCTACGATAATAAACAAAGTCTTGATTTTCAAGTACCATTTCTACGATAATAATTTTCCATTTTAAAGTTTAACGAAGATACGACAGACACTTTATAATCATCTTAATACCCCAGTCAGCTGATGGGCTAGAGAGTTGATTATAGACTTGTCCTAGAACTCGGGGGGCACGGTGGCTAAGTGGGTAAGACGCGGGCTCGCTAGCCTGGAGGTCGTTTGTTCGATCCCTGCATTGGCCGAGAAAGTTCATCCAGATTTTCCGGCGTGGTTCCCCCTTGTCAGTGATGCAGGGCGGAAGGCCTGACAAGGACAGCTGTCTAGTCGTTCGGATGGCACGAAAAACCGAGGCCCCGTATACAAATTTCCCTCATAGCACACTATATGGCGTATGCCCGTCTTCATTAGCCCAGTTAGGGACAGAGCAGTAGGGCGTTAACCCCATTTCATTTCTGTAAAGAACTGTCTAAATAATGATTTATATAACATTTTAAGACAGAAAGAATACCTGCAATATGCGAGATTTAGCTCTTACATAATGCATCTTTAAACATAACCGAAGTATAGGAGAGTGAATCAGAAAATTATACAGCAAAACCTTCTTTTGGTTCAGGAACGTCCAACTTCAAAGGATTTTAATACTATTTTCAGAAAATATCGTGTTATTTAATGTGAAAGATTCGATGAATAAGTGAATAAATGTATCATATCAACAGAAATAAGAAGATGGATCTTGCCAAACCAGAATACCGGGATGTCGTCCCATGGAGGAAACAGTCTTCAACATGTGTATTTGTAATGACTTTACATAATTAAAACTATCGTCAGAACAAAATTAGAAAACAGTTGTTCCGCATTATTTTAAAAGGAAAGTTATGATTTTATGACGTCAATAATGGGATGAAATTTGAATACAAGGATGTTATGTGCGGTTTCTCGTGATCTGTCATTTGGTTTGTTATGTAAGTGGAAATGAAGTGGTTTTAGGCATATTTTGCCCAGACAGCGGCGCTTTAGACGGCCTACTTTTATTTCGAATTCCTAAATTTCTCAGCCAACACATGGATCGAATCCGAGATCTCTTGGTGAGCCAGCACCTTATATACTTACTGAGTCACCGCGGGTAACTACATTCAAGGAACAAATTATTTTTTAATGTGGATAATATACCAAGGATGTATTACTAAATTTAAAAAAAGGGCCAGAACTTAGTGGTAGGTTTTCCGTCC